AATGATGTAAGTTTGGTGTCATATACACTTTTGTCAAGAATGTACACACTTTCATTGAGGGAAATTAAGACTGCTTTGTAGGAAAGTAGTAAAACTTTATTAAAAGAATTATTGCAATATATGGATGAAATTAAACTATCTACCACCAGGAAGTTGGAACCCTTCTTGTGGAAGTTAGTGCTTTCTTTGCAAAACAACAATGTTTTTCAATATTATTTATGAATAAACAGTGCACAGTAAGGAAAGTTTTTTACACTTTCCCCCAAAATATTCCTAGAGATAATAAAGCAGACTTCGTATTATCAATGACATAATTTAATTTACAAAAAGTCATAACAAAGAGCCTCATTTAAAATAAAGGATTTCTTGAACACATAAAAACAGGGTGCGTAGCCAAATTATTCAAGAAAAAATAAGCACTTTTTAAGCACTCAAATAACATTTTTAAGAACTTTAAAAATATCATAATTAGGCAAGGTTGGAAAGTTTTTGACAATTGATGGCTTTAACTGCCTTTTAAAAAATAAAAAAAAACATTTAGCATTGCTCTTGACAATTGTCAAAATTTTTGAATAATGTAAATCGAACGGCGTTTTTATATGCTACGGACTGACGACTCGCCGAAATAGAACTGGGGTTGAATTAATTGTGAAAACGTTGAATAGAACAATGTGAACAGCGTCTATCTGCATAATTAGTAGCAAAAATTAACATGCAAAGGAAAAATCTCATTTCGGAAAAGGGAAAATTAAGCACTTTTTTAAAAACAACCAATGAAAAAAGCACCTTAAAAGGCTTTTAAAAAACGAAAATAAGCACCTTTCAAAAATGCTATGCACCCTGAAAAATAAGTGTTTGCTTCCTTTTTCTTTTAAATAAATAAATAATAAAAATTGAGCTTTGAGATGTCTTTATTAAACTAAAAATAGCATCTCTGAAATTAACTTTTCCTTATTAAATATTTCAACAAAAAATTGCTATCAGAAATTTGCCTACTAAGCAGGGTTCGTGATTTAATATAAACAAATAAATAATTTTTAAAAAATTCCGATTTACTTGATTGACAGATTATTCATTACTTAAATCATATTGATTTGATTTTTAAAAAAAGTTATTTTAAAAACTTCAGTTTATAATAATTTTACAAAAATAGTTATATTTGAAATATTATTTAAGATAAATCATAATACATTTCAAGCTATATTACTGCAAAAAAAATTGCATAATGCAGACAAATCGATAATTCAAATTTTTTAAAAATAAAATAAAATGGGAAGAAAAAAACAAATCATAAAATTAATTTCAGTATCTTCCTTTTTCCAACTTAAAAAATCTGAATTTAAGAACTACATCAGTTTATTTTTACGCTGTTCTTAGTTTTACATTCTGAAAAGCCATTGAGATTTATAAAATTTTTTACATTATTATTTCAAAATTATTGTAGCTTATTTCACATAAAGTAACTAATGTAATTTTATTAATAATCAAAATTTATTAACATTGCAATATATATAATAAGTTTTAATGCTATAAAAATAAATAAAAAAAATTAAATAATCTTAGATTAAAATTATACAAAAAATTATTAAATTGGTAATTTCTTTAAAATGTTTTTAAATTTAAATTGATAATGTTTTTAACAAAAAATGAATTGATTTAAATCAAGAAACCCTGCTTACAAGTGATTTAATATGGTTGAGAAAAGAGTAATAATAAAAGACAGAAAAATAAGACTTGTCCTAACCTCCAATTTAGTGACAACATTTCGAACCATAATATCTGATAATCCTTGAGCTAAAAATAAGAGGGNGGGGGGGGGGAGAGTACAACTAAATTGAGATTATTTTAGGCACTAGGAATTCTAAGAATATAAAGAACATTGATTCCATGATTGTATATATATCACAGGGTTTATATTGCATTGGTATTTTGCTTCTTTATTTTATAAAATATTTTATGTACTGGCAACCATTAAGCAAATTTATGGGATGGCCCATGAAAATGTGGAAATACTGAATTTTCCATAAATGTTTAGCAAATGCAAGGCATATTTGCCAAAGGACATAATTCCAAATTATCCAGCTTTTAAATAACCTTCCTTAACCAAGTAACTTTTTTTTCCCCACTTAAATCATTACCATAATCTTTTTTTTTTTTTTTTTTAAAGAAAAGAAATTTAAGATAATAATTAAGAAAATTAAGATAATAATTTTGGCAAACAAATGCTAAAAATTAATAAATGAATTAAAATTGTTCTCAGTATTTTCAATGAAATTTTTTCATTGCAATTTAAACCATGGATTGTATATGAAGATAAAAAGGTTTGCAAAAAACTTTTTAAAAATTGATTGAATTTTTGAAGATAAAAACTTTAAAAAAAAAAAAAAAAATGCACTTAAAATTTCTTCAGTTATAAATCTTGATTTTAAAAACTGATTATTTTTAATCGATTAATTAATATGAAAATTGATTAATGTTCACTGAATAAACAATTCTTAAATAGAAAACATAGGTAGAGATACTTTTACTCTAACATCAAGGCATTACATATTTCAATAGATACAGAACATGCAAAAATTTCATTAAAGAAAAAACATATTTCTTTCCAAAAAATTGAATTTAAACTTCACAAAACACATGACAGAAAATATTATCAATAAAATCAAATTATAGTACTTAAAAATCAACAAATGGCTGAATATTTCAGTCGGTAACAATTTATTATTGTCATAATAACAAAATTCTAACAAATCAATGTCTTAAAGCAATCATTAGAATAAATTTAAAGGCATCTTTTTACATGCTGTCATAACAAATATTTAATTAAATTATTATAGTTATTAAGTCATAAACTGATTTAAATAAAAAAAATGTATTCTAAAAAGTATTAAAAAAAATTTCAAGCATGAAGAAACTATGCAAAAGAAACGATAACAATCTTGAATCATTTTTTGGTCCATAAAACATTTTAATCCACTAAGTTAATTAAATAGTGTGAGGAGATCTACTTAAGAAATTCTATATAATCTCAATAATTGAATAAATTGGAACAGATCAGTTACATGCCTATAGAAGTCTTTTTGAAAATGTTTCTTTGGTGTGAGTTGGCGTAAAAAAAACAAAAAAACAAGAAGTTTAAAATCTGTTTGTCTAACAATTTGTTAAACAGTATAAATATATTTCTAGACAAGCATAAAAGGAAATGCCATTATATTGAAGAGGCAGTACAAACATATTGTGGGTCTACCTCCCAAATGTTTTTGAATTTAAGGGTTTTCTCTCCCATTTTTTCAAATTATATCATAAAAAAACATTGGTGGTAAAAACTTTACAGCAAAACCAAATTTGAAATTTGCCTTTTAACAGTTATTGAATAGAATGAAGATAAAATAAATATATATAATTCATGTAGGTTTAACATAGCGACAAAACTGTTTGAAGGAATATTTTAACTCTAAAATCGCAATCATTTTACATCATTGTTTGTAACAGATATTTCTTTTTTTTAAGAAAAAAATCCAGCTTTTTGGTCTTCTGAAGTTGACCAACCAAAGTTTGACATGAACTACAGGCGTAAACACTATGTTATTTTAAAAAAAAATTATCAAAATAAAGTGCAATATCTATGAATAAACAGGCCAGGCATCAACCGCGTAACATAACAAAAGGAGCGAAAACCTGATTTTTCACATTCGATTCAGGGTATGATGGTTGATACCTCGCATCACATGGTAACTTTTTAGGATATCACAACACGATCTAGTTCTTAATTTCAAGAATGGTGTACATTTTATAAGCCTTTTTTCAGACTCCTGACTTCAGAAGACTGTCCTCGTGTAATTGAGATGCAAGGGTTACAAGTTATACATTCTGTCATAAAAAATTGTTTTAACTGTATTGCTTGATTGTGTAGCATTATAGACATGTAACAAATCTTTTTCTTAAACATATAATAAGTACAGCGCACACTTTATACAAATACTACTTTTAATATTTAATGCATTTGAGTTGTGCATCTAAAGATACAAAATTTTGAAAATGAAACAACTTAAATTTAGTTGGAATCCACAGGCAGAACATTACTTATGTTTTTCTAGTAAGCTAAAATGTTCGAATCACAATTTATCTGTAATAAATTTTTATTGAAATCAATTCATATTCATGAACATTTTTTTTTTCATTTAAAAGGTGTATAACTGTTTGCACTACGTTAATCAAATTTTTTTTTCCGAATAGTTTAAAAAGTTCTTGAAAAGTAAGATCCTCTAAGTTCCTTTTTTTTTTGTTGCAAATATATACATATAAATTTCTTTTTGTTTACAGAAACTTTTTGAAAAATGTTACACAGTATACTCTCAATTTTTATGAAACCTTGGTATGTCAAAAAAATATTTTTCCCCTTGATATCACATATCCATCTAATATTAATTTGAATTTCTTTGTCGAAGGGTTTTTTCTCAAAAAACTTGTCATGCTGATTTTTTTTTTTTTTTTTTACAATAGAGTCTCCCTCTGTTGNATTTGAAAAAAAAAAAAAAAAAAAACACAATGTAAGTTTATTGCAAACCAATTCTTTTCCATTTAGTGCATAATTATTTCGTCTTACTTTTAAAAATAAAATTATCATTGTTTTATTTAGACTTATAATTTAATAGTAGTTATTCTTATGCTTCCTAACTCTACCCTTTAGAGTAATATTTCAGAATATAATTTTCTACTTTTTAGAATTTTTGTTTTGTATTTAGTTTTGAACTTGGTATTTAAAATTTTTTTTAGCATTCCTTCAACTTTGAGAGCATACTGCATTAATTTAAGAAAATTTCACAAATGACAAATATGAGCGTTTTTCAACTAATATGTTTAAGTTAACAATTAGTTTTTTTTTCCAACTAAGTAGTGTGAAATTATTTCTTTACACCATGAAGAAAGAACAAATTTTTGTTTGAAAAAAGAAATACTGTCCCAAAAACTTTTTTCTTTCATTAATTCAGATATAATTAAAGTAATTATAAATAAAAGAAAGTTATAACTTAGTGGATTAAAATAAAATTATAACTAATCACGATTTCAAAACATTTAATTTTCAATTAAACTAAGTTTTAGTATTAAGAAATGCATGAAAACTAAAAACTTGATTTGACAAAAATTATATACAATCTTTAAATTATTATAAGCATTCATTGCTTTTTACAGATCTGATATTTTAAAGAATTAGTTAATTTACCATAATGAAAGATTAGTTTTTAATAATTCTGCTATTCAAGACAAGCTTTCAAAAGGCAGCAAAAACAATTAAATATTTGTATAATTTAATTTAGGAGATATATTATTAACTGATTATATAGAGAAAGTCAATAATTCTAAGAACATAAATGTAATAATATAAAATTTGACGAAATTTTAAACATCCTTATTCATGAAAGTGTGAGCTTAAAGCTGCACATAAAAGAAATTGCTAAGTTTGAAATTCAGGGATATCATATATCATACTGTTCAAACAGCTAAATATAGAAAGAATTTCCATAAGAAATGTTAATAGAACATTAAAATGAAGAATATAACTTAGAATCATATTAATTATTATTTTAATAATGTAAATAAATTCATGAAAAAATTTCTTTTTTTTACAGCAGATGATCAATAGCATTTTCACACACCACGATTGTCAATCCTATTTTAAAAATATATGTACATATCACTATCATCAAATTAATTAGTGTCATTTAAGCAACGCATAACACATATGGGGTTAACAACCAATTCGACAGTTATATTTACAATATTTTCCTCCAATTATTAATCACAAGCATTTGCCACATTAATTATGTGAGACCATTCACGATTCGTTTTGTACTGATAAAAAATAAGTATTAGCACAAGTAAAACAAATTAAGTATGTTAAAAAACAAATTAAATTATTGATAATTCATACTTTAATAGGATTGAAGTTCTTACCTTTTCTTAATTTAAAAAAAAAAGGCACAATCAATTGAGCTGATAAGATTAGGATTGAAAATTAATACATCAAACCAGCATATTTTATTTTCACGATAAACTATATAATGTAACTGGAAAAGTTGCACGAACTGATTCATAAGGAAAAGGAAACTAATGCAAAGATACAATAAACCTTCATATGTGTGGCACTGAATGTTTCTGATGAATAACTAAGCACTTGTAATAATCAATTCAAAAAGATCACAATAACACTCAATTTCACTTTTTTTTCGTTAATATAAGAAATGGCTAAAACTTTGGGAATTGTAATTTAAGATGAACCCTTAACTACCACCACTACCAAATGATCCTCTTTAGAGGAGTCAGAAGTTAGGTTTGAAGCGACACGTCTTAACAATTCTAAAGCAAATGCACAAGGAGGAAAAGCATACATAACACCATTTGCGTCTTTGCCATCCTTTTTTGAATTACAAGGCAAGGATATAACACCAGCAGCTTCTTTTTGTTTAAGATATGATACAAGATTCCGGAGTGGTCGTTGTTGCACAGCAGCAGATTGATCTTCTCCTGGTTGAATTGGACCAGGAAACGTTAGTAAAAGGCAATGGCCGTGAGGTCCAGCAGAAGATATTCTCCGAGACACATCATCTAGCTTAGGGGGATCTAAGCGCAATCTTTGAGTAATACGTAACATGGGGAGTTCTAGATCTTTCATCATATAATCAACTAATGATGGATCTCCACTGCATGCATGCATACGTGTAGGAAAAGCACTGTTCTTTAACACAAGTGCCCCTTGCCAAGCAACAGGGCAACATTTTGCTAAGTCTTGCAGATTATCTACATTGTCCGCAATTGTCACACCATCTTTTAAATCATGGCCTTGTCTCTTTTTATCAAAATCCTGCCGTCTGTTACGGTCATTTTTTGTATCAAATTCATAATCCTTACGAAAATCACTTCGTCCATCCGAAGTCAAATGGCCATCTCTCGATGCACGGCGATTAACACCACCATTGCTGCGATTGCGTCGAGGTGAAAGAGTATCTTTGCCAAGAGGTGGATGATCATAATCAACGCGATCAGCATTGTGTGACCTAGGTCTCTTATAATACATATCATGACCAAGTTGTTCGGATTCATCGACTTCTGGTGAACGACCACGTTTTCTACGGTCTGAATTATCATTTCTCCCACCCCTAGAATGGTCATCCCACCAACCCTGATGATTACGATTCCAACCTCCACGGTAATCGTGCCTTTCTTCGTGTTCAGTAAGTCCCCACGAATCCCGACCTTGAAATTTAGGTGACCTATCGTACACGGGGTCATATTGCTGATTTTCATACACATTATTTCTAGACCAACTATTTTCTATTCCGGAATAGTAATCATCAGGAGGTGGACCATCACCTCTAAAACTTGATCTTTTTGATGTTGGAGGTGGGCCATAGCCTTCCTCATCTCGAAATCCAGTTCTAGAAGGAGATTGGTAATAACTATATGGTCCAGGATCAGCAAAATCAACACGCAGTCTTTTGTCTTGTCCACCAAGAGGAAAACCCCTCATTTCTTGGCAAGCTGCCTGAGCTGCATCAATGCTGTCATATTGAATATAGGCATGATTTTCACCTTTAACAAAATCAATTTTACGGATGGCACCAAAACGATCAAATTCTCTTTCTAAGTGTGAGAGAGATGTCCATGGACCTAAACCACCAACCCATATTCTAGTAGTTGGAGTAGCTTTACCATATCCTATTTTGCACTGAAATTTACCGATATATTGGCCTGACATTTCAACCTTGCCTCTATGAGCCATGTCTAAATTTAAAAACTTAATGAAGGCATATGCATTTCCAAGGCCAGGAGCTGGACGTTTTACATCAATGTCTTCAACTACACCGTATCTTTCAAATATCCTACGGAGTTCAGCCTCCGAAATGGTCACTTCTAAATTACCAACAAACAAGGTCCTAGTTGCTTTGTCATCTTCTTCAGGGGGCACATGATGTAAATAGTTTGGAAATTTTTCTTTTTTAGAGTCGTCACGTCTGTGAGGAGGATGATGGTGAAAATCATTATGCATTTCTCGTCTTATTCCATCACGAGGATGGGAATAAGCAGGGTTTCTTTCAATAGCATTTTGCCTCCCACCCCCCAATGTATGGCGTCCCAAACTAGTATTACTTGCTGATGAGTGAGCAGGAGAAACAGCACGTAAGCTACCAAATTCAGGACTAACACTCCTGTTTCTCCTACCTGTAGCACCTCTGTCAAACACAGGTTCGATTTGCACAGGTTTATCAAATAGCACAAGCCGGGCCTTAGAATGGCGAGCATCACGGGCATCTTCGTACGTTCTGAAATACACATATGCAACACGTTCACTACCACTATGAAACACTTTAACACTCACTTCACCAAAACGATTAAATTCACGAGTTAATGCATCACGAATTGAGGCGTCATTTACTTTATGGTTTAAATTAGACACACACAAAACTTTAGACATAGGCGGTGGAGCTCGTTCTGATTTAATATTGCGTGGATAATCATCATATGAATCTCTGCCAATAACACTGCCAGAGCGGCTAATAGTAATGCCCCTCTCATTAGAAGAATCTCTCGTTCGTCCTCGCCGTTCATTTGGCGATTTATTAGAACCGCGCCTTTCCCTGCGATCCGGTGATGATCGGTCCCGTGGACTATCATCATATCGCGATATAGATGAATGGGACCGTTTAGTTTTAACAGGGGAATCACGTTCCTGTTGTCTTTTCATTTTATAAATGCAGTAACTACACTTTCACACAGATAATAAAAACAAAATGAATCACAGATCACTTAATTTTACATAAACTCCCAATTCTGCAGTATTTAACACACAATAAAGAAACACAATTAGAAATCATTTAAATCACCTGGGCACAGCAAAGATTAGATTAGCACACACCATAATCAAATAAGTAGAAACAATCATAAAAATATTTCAATATCAAAATTATATCAACAATAACACAAATACTAGAAAAAGGCACTGCACAATCGATGCACTTAAACTAACGAATATTGTAATCACCAAAGATAGAAATAAATATCTTATAACAAATAATGGTAAAATTTTAAATAAACATTCGTTCAAATAAACACAATATTTTGGTTTTTAATTAGGAGCACATTTAAATAATATTAGAACTTGAACTATCGTTTATGTACTAAACAGGACGTAGATGCTCGATGGCACGGTTTAAAGTGTTGCCCTTCAGCCGATTTTCAAAATTAATTCCAGATATAACTTTTTAAAAACAGGAAAAATATACCAAGCACTTTAATGAGGCTAATTTATTTTATGTTCTATTTGATTATTCTTATCACTCTAAAATAATTTATTTTACTTCATCTTCAATAATATTTTTAATTAAAATAAAAAAATGAAGCTTAAATTGGCAACACTGTCTCTCGATAACAGCAGAAGGAAAATAAATAAAACCATATCACACGTATCGTTGATGTCTGATTATTAATTTTTATTTAAAATTAAAGAATAGCTAATGTTTAGTTTGTAAGAACATAATTTTCAGTTTCATAAATACATATTTTATTAAATATTTTATATACATGTTTTTTCTGCAGTTCTGTCTTATGAATTTTTAAATATTTTATATGAAATCCTCTATAATTAAAATTTAATATTAATGCTGTTTATTTTACTTGCTTTATTTTAATGAATAGTAAAATTTATAAATGAAGAGGGACGAAGCTTAGATGCATGATTTTTAAAAACAAGAAATTTTTTTTAATAAAATAATTTTTTTTTAGTTTTGTCTTGTTTGTTTTTAGGTTGAATTGTAGAAAATTGGGAGTATCTAATTTAAAATTAATTATACTGCTCACTTTACTTGTGCTATAAAATTAGTAAATATAATATTAACGTACGTATTATAAATGAAGAGTTTTACATTTGTTTTTCTCATTTTTAAAAATCTGTTGCAGGTTTTTCAAGGAATAAGAGTAATGATGATCGAAGATGCTAAATTACATTTCAGCTTGGATCTTAATTTGCTTATATTTAATTCCCTTTCGAACTTATGCAACTTATTCATGCAGTCTTGACAAAAATGTTAATTTTGAAAACTGTTGGACTCTTCTTGATAAAGTGAAAAATAATTATAATATTTTTTTACAAACACCTGATGAGTATATTAAAAAGTATGGAACATTTAGTAATTCACAGCGACTGCTTATGCGAGAAGAAGCTAGAAAAATGTTTCAATTTGGTTATGACAGCTATCTGGAATATGCATTTCCTAAAGATGAATTGAATCCTATCTTCTGCACTGGAAGAGGACCAGACTATGAAAATCCGTAATTTTATTTTAATTTTATGATTTAATAAAATAATTTTTCTTGTGGTATTGTTTTTTTAGTGATTAGAGCTATTATGTTAAATTTAGCTGTAAGGGAAAGCATTTATTAAGTTATATGTGAGAGAAATGATTGATATATTTAAAATCTGCTATTTGAAGACATCCATATCAGTTTCTGTTTATACCAACTGCAATAGCTCAGGCATCAGAGTGATTTTGCACTTGCAAAAAAATTAAAAGAAATTGTAGTTGCTTGCCTGGGGTCGTTACAAGTCAGTGATTTCAGTCGAGTCTGGGAACTACCAATCTTCAGTTCAAAATCAAAAATTGTCACTTTCTAGTCATTTTTTTTTACCAAAAGCAGGTCCCAATTATAAACAGTATAGTTTTAAAGATATGCATAAAGAGCTAATATTTTATGTTTAAATTTTTTAAATGTTATTTTTAAAAACTTAAACTTAGAAAAAAAGGGGGAAGAACTTCAAGATTTAAAGAAAAAAGATTCAAATGATCTGTATTATGGAACCGTCAATAAATTCTCTGTCTCTTTAACTATCTAACTAATATGTGCATTTATAAGCTTTTCAGCTATTGATAGACAAAGAAAAGAGTTGTATTTAAAGAATCAAGACTTTTAATCAAGACGTTACATACCACCACTCTAAGACTATTATCAAGGAAAAGCAACGATATAATTGATACTCTGGGTATTGTTTTATGCTTCTAATGGTAATACAGTGGTAAAAAAGAATTTTTTTTTCTTTTTTAAATTTCCCCACACCAAAAATGAAAAACCTGTGGTTCTGTCATTATTTTTTTCTGCGTTTAGAAAATTACAGGTTCTATATGCGGACACAATTACACGATCTTATGTTATTACTTTTTTATTGCATTCCGTCTATGATCACAGGTGAATTTGCCATGCTGAAGTGCTTCAGCGGAATCACTAAGTTTTAAGTTTGTTGAGAACATGTCTACATTGGTACCTTTTTGAAACAACTACAATTGCCAAAAGGATTTAAACTTGCACAATTTTTTTGAAAAATATATATAGATTGGCAAAAATGTAGTTACGAATTATACCCTTTGAATTGGTCCCATTTTGTTTTGTTTCTTGCAGGGATACAAAAAGTTGGCTTTTACATGGAAATCTTTTTAGTTAGTACCTTCCTGTGATTTTATTTTGAAAATTTTTTTGTTTACTAATGCTAATCGCCAAAACTTGGAGACTAACGGACAGAGGTAGTGATATGGAAGTCTTTGCATTTTAATTTGAATATTATTTTAAATCAAAGTTGGGTTTTTGCCGTCAAAAACTGGTTTTTGACATGACAGTGGTAAAAACCGTCAAAAACCTACTGTTTTCTTTAATTTATGGCATATAGCGGACAATATTTTATTTTCACATAATTGCCTTCATAAATGAATGTTGTAAATGATTGCTATTGATTTTGCAACCTATATACATGTATTCTTATAGAAGGATATACATTCATACTGAAATATTGTAATATACTTATTGAAAATAGTGATACTTACTTTTATCATTATAGCTTGATTTGCAAAGGATTCAAAATTTTGCACTTCTTAATTGTTAGAAATAAACAAACAAAAAAGCTTTGAACTATTAATAAATTCAGGAGGCGGAATACTCAGTTTGGCAATTGCCTGACAATGAAGCAGTTAATCTTTATTGTATGTGTTTCATTTTATTTGTGTAAATTAAATGTAATAAAAATTTGTGTAAATTAAATGTTGGTAGAAGTAATAAATTACCAGCTGTTGCAAAATGCACGAAGCAAGAAAATTTTCTCTAAATCTAGGCTGGTATCCAGCTAATAGATATTTTCTTTTCTTTATTTAGCCATGTGTTTCAGAAGGAAAAAAAAGTTATTCCGTTTAAAAAAAAAATAGCTTTAAAATTAACAAATAGTTTGTATAAGCATTAAAAAACGATTCTTTTATTATTTGTTCCAAGGTTCATTGTGAAAAAAATTAACTTTGTACTATAAGACAGACCAAAAAAAAAAAAAAATTCTATTTTATCTCTACAAGCAATTTTGAAAACTTAACAATTGGGAAATAAATTTTTTTTTTCAAGAACTGCTAAATGAGAATGATTGAATGAGATGATTTCAGCATTTATTTTTAATTATAAAAATTTTAATTTTTAGTTTTTTTTAACCTAATAAATTATTGCTGTTTATATTTTTTATAATTATAAAACAAATTAGACCTTAAATTTTTAATTAGGAAATTTTTGTCTGTAAAATATATGTATTAAATGTCTTTCTAATGATCCAGTGACTCAATATTCAAAAGCTGATTCTAATACTTTAACGGCATGCAAAAAGGAGCATCCAATTATTAAGGTAAAATTTCATTTCGAAAAGTAATACAATTTTACCATAGAAAAATTTTAGTCTTGACTAAAAGTTGTAGTCTTGACTTTTCTGCAATGAAGTAAACCAACAAAAATAATTTCCAATATCTGTATACTTAATCAGAAACTTAAATTGATCATTTTATAAATATGAAATATAAAATATGAAATAATTACTGGGCAATAAATGTAATCAGTCAGTCAAACTATTTTTTTCCCTCAATTTTTTATTTCAATAATTATGGAATGGAAGCAACATTACCTACTGTGACTAAATAAAAAAAATTATAATCAAAAGTGTTTTTATATAATAAGAAGGATACTTGTAACTCTAAAGCTATATACACTAAAACTATTTAACTTTTAAAACTCACTAATCAATTTTTATTAACTTCTATATGAAATTTAGCTTCTAAACACACAAATATTTGACTCAAAGAAGATATTTTATAATAAATATTAAAATTAGAAAAAAAAAAAAGTTTTAGAGCATTAAACTAGTATTTAGAGCAAACTGCTATTTACATTAAAAATGAATTTAAAATATCATTTGAGAATTTTATTAATAAACATCTTTCCAATGTGTGTGTGTTTTATTTATTTAAATAGCTTTTATATGCTTCTTTTTCTGGAACATCTAAGTTTGTTCCATGCATCTCTGCATTCTACTCTTATGTATGTTAGTTTTAAATACTAAGTAATAATTTGAATAGTCGTGTTTTGTTATTTTACATAAAAATAGTGAGTGAAAAAACACTGTTTTTCTATGTACAGGTCCAATATAAATATCAATGATGTGCTTGGTGATTATTCTTTAACTCTAATTGATGCATTGGATACCTTAGCGGTAAGTGTATAAAATTATTAAATTCTGACAAGTTATGAAAATTATTATTTTTTTTTTAAGAAAAAAGATTTGATATTTAATCTATATTATTTGTTCCCAATGTATTTCTCTTTGCAAACAACTCCTTTTAAAATCCCAAAGAAATTGGTTAACCCCTTTTATATTCTGTGTAACAAGGACGAAGACAAAATTTGATAAAATATTAGTTTTTGATGTTACAGTATAGTTCATAACTGAAAACTAGAAACATAATCATAAAACATCACCACAGTACAAACATTTGAAGAACTTAGTGAAAGAACTGGCTAAGTTAAATTTTTAAAAAAAATTGAGATTTCTTAGAGAAAGTTCTTATTTTTGCTTTATTTAAATATGCAACCTTCATTTATATTTCAAATCTATTTATTCTGAAGATACTTGGTGGAAGAACAGGCTAAGTGGAATTATTTGAGTATTCAGTGGATGGAAGAGTGGGCTAAGTGACTTGGCAACAAATAGCCAATAAACAAACCTAAAAAATCTTTCGCTTCACATCGAACGCTAAAATTGGTGAAAATGAAAAACTTCAAATGGCAGCTTCCATACATTAAGTAGGAATTTATGTTTTTTACGAATAAATAAATAAAAAAGACCAGAAAAAACAACCCTTAAAGAGCTTCACCATAAAATTTTTTTGTATTTGGTTTGCATTAGTTTGTTTCTGACACACTGCCCTGTAATTTTTTTCAACTAATTTTTTTTCAAAGCAAATTTGCTTTAAAAATAGATATTATTTTATACTTAGGCAACTTTTTAAGTTTATTATTATTGTTACTAGCTCAATACTCATTTTTCTTTTTGAAATAAAGCTAACTAATAAATAAATCAGTAATGATCAACATTGCAAAATCATGCACGAAGTAAAAAGGAGATATGCGAACACGATCATTCCATATAATTCTGTTACTCTAGATCAGGGCTTTCCAACTGGAGGCCCACGAAGCCTTTTTTTGTGGCCCATGAGCTAAAATATATTAGTTACTGTCATTTTCTTGCGGACAATTTTTGTAAAAAATCTGAATGGGTTTAAAATACTTTTCTCGCTAATAAAAATCTAATTTCTTCGTTTCTGTGAAATTTAACATACCAACCGCGCAAAAAAAAGTTTTTCTCAGGTTTTGCATCGAAGAAAATATTTATTCAAATACAAAAATTATCGTGTATATATTGTTCTTTTTTATTTCCTTTTCTTGTATTTTGTGAATATAAATTAGCATGTGTGTATCAGAAATTTTCTCGAAGAAATTCTAAAATTTGACTTTTTGAAACCACTAATTTTGCACTAAAATATTAACACACACATTTGTAAATTTTAAATTTAAAATGCAACTATCTATTCTCTGGTGGCTGCAGCAGACAAACCTCAATTTTCTCATTGAACATTTTGTGTGCTAATATATAAGCTTTAATACCAACCTTTTTAAAGTTTTGTATCTTAACAATTAGATATCTGTTGCCCATTAATTGTTTAATACATAGGTGCAAATTGAAGTTATTGTAGCCCGAATTTTTATTATTTATTTAATATTTTTAAAAATATTGTTAATAACAATTAAACATTTTAAAAATCTACTTCTTGTTTTAATTTGTAATTCAATAGTTTTGTTTTATAGAACTTGGTAAAAATCTGACAGTAATATTTAATGTTCCTTCAAACATAAAAGAGTCCTACATAAAATTTTGATAAAGTTGCGACCTGCCATTTGATTTGTGTTTTTAGTTGTGGCTCCCGGCCTCACGTAAGTTGGAAACCCCTGCTCTAGATCAACTCCTGGTAGTAAAAAATTACTATAATCAACAATTTTTTTCCCATACTTATCCCATTGGGTAGGCTGTAACAGGGTGCGTAGCGATTTTAAAAAGTTATTAAAGATGCTTATTTTCATTTTTTAAAAGCCCTTAAAGGTGCTTTTTTCATTGGGTGTTTTTAAAAAGTGCTTAATTTCCCTTTTTGAAAGTGATACTTTTTTTCTTTACCGCGTCGATTTGCGGACCCGTATTATACAAAACCGTACTTCCCACATTCAACGTTTTCACAATTCATTCAACCACTATCCATTTCGGCGTACTAACGGTCTATAGCACATGAAAACTCAAATCATTTTACATGTTTCATGAAACACTTTCGTGTCTGTCTACTGAGCTGGATTTGGTGAGATTTTTGCACTCTCATGTGCAACTGTGCTGCATTTTGCAAGATATTCTCAGTTTCAGGCGTCATTTTCGACTCTCTGATATAGAACCGATAAATCTCTCGATCTTTATATGGTGGCTAATATCATCAAGAAAAAAGCACTCTTTTTGCACTCTCATGTGCAACTGTGCTGCATTTTGCAAGATATTCTCAATTTCAGGCGTCATTTTCGACTCTCTGATATAGAACCGATAAATCTCTCGATCTTTATATGGTGGCTAATATCATCAAGAAAAAAGTTTTTTGTCTGTAACTAGTTATTTTATCATGGTCATGTAAAGTATTTGAAGATTATTTTGCAGTTTGTTAATGTATGTAGTGATTAAAAATATTTTTTGAGTGCTTAAAAAGTATTTAAAAGGTGCTTATTTTTTGTTGAATGATTTAGCTGTGCACCCTGTGTAAGAAATCTATTTCCTCTGTACTCACAGTAGGTATCGTGATATGTACATTAGTATATAGAGTACATATTAAAGCAGCACCAATTAACTAATATTAATAATATCTGTTACCAAAAAGTTTTCTACTTTTTTGATTATAATTTTTAAATTGTAAATAGGAAGGGGCCGATCAACAATCATTAAGATGTGTGCGCTCGCTTAAAATATTAAGCTTTAAATCCAAAACTATGAGCAAACTTATATGTTTGACAAAACAAATGGTAACTTTTTCATGAAAATCGGAATGGATGAGTGGGGACAAATGAAGTCTACATATGAATGGAAACACAGAGATAGATAGCCAAACTTTATTTTGCTCCCTGTTAGCAGCGATTGCTGTTTTATTGCAAATTTGGTAGAAACATATCAGGGCTCCATTAGCATCAGGCTAACCATAAGAGGTTTTCATTGTTCTTACCTCCATTTTGCACAAATGCTGATTAGTTTCACTTAGAAGTCTTCTTGAAGGTGAATGTGACATTGTTTTTTAAACAGGCATTTCTTGTCTTCAAGGTTCTAGGTTAAGAAGTTGAAAATCAAAAACAAAGCTGCATATCCACTGAGTGGATTGGTGTTCAACAGTAGAAATTCATAAAGTGGTAACCTAAAGTTTGAAAACTGTGAATCGCATAACTAATCAAGAATATGTAGTTTACCTTGATAGAAAAAAACCCAAAACTTTTTAATATGCCTTTTTATAAATTAAAATGCTTCATTTTTTAGAGAAAATTTGATACCAGTTTGTATCAAATTAAGATTGTTAAAATTTTATGCTATGAATATAAGCCTAAATATATGTATATTTATTTAATCTTTACAAATAAAATTATATTGGATGAAAATATTATAAATCAACCATGCTAACAGCAAATGCTATGCACATAAATCATTGAAATCTTCCTTTGTAAGATAGTTAGAATCAAATAAATAAGCCNGTTAGTTATTTATTGCTCCTAAACTCTTCTGTACCTTTGACAGGCTACCTAATTAAGAGAATGTCCAAAATATTAAACAAAATAGTAATAATTTTATTAGGTAATTAGTTCTGTTTTCCACAGATGCAATCTAGAGTGAGTTGTTATTATGAAATAAGTTCATTTATGATTTTTAATCCAGATTTTATAGGATCATTTATGATAATTGTTGCATTTATAAATTTTCTCATCACAATTTTTTCCCCTCATTTCTCTTCCAATCATTATTAATATATTAGGTTTAATAAGGAAAAAGAAATAATGAAAAGCATTATTATTTGTAAAAGTATGTTGTATTATATACAGTGCGTAAAATAAAAAAAGTAAAAAACCTGAATAACTCTTGATTTAATGATCGGATTTTAACTTAGGTTCTAGATCTCAATCTAAATGGTTTAAGGGCCAATCTTAAAATATGCTAATTAGATGGTGCAGAAATATTTGTTTAAGTCAGGCAAACGTGCTTCCTCTACCTATATATATACACATATCTATATGTATGTTGTTAAATTTGGATATTTGTCCCTCAAAATATGGATGATATTCGCAATAAGGAAATTAAGGTCCCAAAAGTTTTTTTTAGGTTGAAAGTTTGGGCTCCATTATTTAATTTCAGTTTTCATGCATTTTGCAATGTCTCGAGAACTTTTGAAACGAATTGAAAAAATTTTATACCTAATAATAAAATTCATTTACCTAAAAATATTTTCCCGACAAAAATAGTTTTTTTTAAAATTATTTATTATTAATGGTCAGAAAAATTTTCAATTTAAAAATATACAAATTTTTATATAATTTTAAAGAACATAAATGTAAATGGTAAAACACAAAATTTGAACGAAATCTGTCGAATAGCTCTTGAGAAATTAAATGTTAAATATATAACTTTTTTTAAATTGAATAATTCAGTTGTAATTGACTGATTTAATACACATTAAATTCTGTATTTTGTCATTTAAAATGACATTTGTTAAATTTTCAATTTAAAGTTCTTTCGTCTATTCTCTTAAATAAAATAATATAAAATAATTAATACTTCTTAAAAATTATTTTTGACAAGGAACTATTTTTAGGAAAATGAATTTTATTCTTGTGCGCTAAAATTTTTCTGTTCGTTTGAAAAAATTCTCGTGGTATGGCTATATATTTCGAGAGTCAAGAATTCGAACCATTTAAAAAAAAGTTATGCTTTTTTTTAGAAAAAGATGTGTCTGTTTTTCTAAAGTATTTTGAGTCTTAGTATATAAAAGTTCAAACTTTCGATCATAAGTAATTCAAAGTGTTTGCTTTTTTGCACATGGTACATGTGCACAAACAGAAGTTTTTTTTATATTAATTGAAAAGTTTTCAATTGATCATATTTTAATTTTTTTTATTTGAATAAATATTTTCTTTTAAAAAAATTTGATTTTATATTTAGAATTAACACGTGACTTAATAGATGTATTTTTAATTGTTAGAGGGGGGCACCAAAATATTTTCAGTGCTTAGGGCCTCAAGAGGTCTTAATCCGGCCCTGATAATCAACAATTTTTTTTCCATACTTATCCCATTTAGTAGGCTGTAACAGGGTGCGTAGCGATTTTAAAAAGTTATTAAAGATGCTTATTTTCGTTTTTTAAAAGCCCTTAAAGGTGCTTTTTTCATTGGGTGTTTTTAAAAAGTGCTTAATTTCCCTTTTTGAAAGTGATACTTTTTTCTTTACCACGTCGATTTGCGGACCCGTATTATACAAAACCGTGCTTCCCACATCAGTGTTTTCACTACAGAGCGAGAACGCGAGAATCTCACATATTTTCTTCTTTTCTCGCATTAAAAAATGATTACCGCAAGAAATTCGCTCATTCTATAAATTAATTTAAAAATTCGCTAATTTCTCGCATCTTGGAAAAAGTTTCAAATTACGCCATTTAGAATAAAATCGGTTTCACTTTTCTTCCTGGATCTTTCATTATTTTGAACATCTGCCCCGTTATCTAGCTTCCCTATTTACCAGTATTGTTCAGAACCTTTTCGAACAACAGAACACAACCACGTAACCCCTTTCAGAACACATTTCTCGGTTTACCGTAGGTGAGGTTTCTTCATGTAAGACGTTCAAATTTTTTATGCACTTATGTAAGATGGACAAATACCTTGTAAAGGCAAAATCTTCTATGATGATGCACCAAAAATATTCAATACTTTCAAAAATAGAAGACGTTAAAAATGTATTATAATTAAAGAAATGATTTTTTTTCAAGAGCTTGTGTTTTTTTAATTTTTAGAAATCTCACCCTGATTTTGAGAAAGGGTGAGAATTTCTCACCCATTTTTTTTCTATGATGAAAACACTGCACATTCAACGTTCTATTCAACGTTTTCACAATTCATTCAACCACTATCCATTTCAGCGTACTAACGGTCCATAGCACATGAAAACTCAAATCATTTTACATGTTTCATGAAACACTTTCGTGTCCGTCTACTGAGCTGGATTTGGTGAGATTTTTGCACTCTCATGTGCAACTGTGCAGCATTTTGCAAGATATTCTCAATTTCAGGCGTCATTTTCGACTCTCTGATATCGAACCGAAAAATCTCTTGATCTTTATATGGTGGCTAATATCATCAAGAAAAAAGTTATTTGTCTGTAACTAGTTATTTTATCATGGTCATGTAAAGTATTTGAAAATTATTTTGCAGTTTGTTAATGTATGTAGTAAATAAAAATATTTTTTGAGTGCTTAAAAAGTATTTAAAAGGTGCTTATTTTTTGTTGAATGATTTAGCTGTGCACCCTGTGTAAGAAATCTATTTCCTCTGTACTCATAGTAGGTATCGTGATGTGTACATTAGTATATAGAGTACATATTAAAGCAGCACCAATTAACTAATATTAATAATATCTGTTACCAAAAAGTTTTCTACTTTTTTGATTATAATTTTTAAATTGTAAATAGGAAGGGGCCGATCAACAATCATTAAGATGTGTGCGCTCGCTTAAAATATTAAGCTTTAAATCCAAAACTATGAGCAAACTTATATGTTTGACAAAACAAATGGTAACTTTTTCATGAAAATCGGAATGGATGAGTGGGGACAAATGAAGTCTACATATGAATGGAAACACAGAGATAGATAGCCAAACTTTATTTTGCTCCCTGTTAGCAGCGATTGCTGTTTTATTGCAAATTTGGTAGAAACATATCAGGGCTCCATTAGCATCAGGCTAACCATAAGAGGTTTTCATTGTTCTTACCTCCATTTTGCACAAATGCTGATTAGTTTCACTTAGAAGTCTTCTTGAAGGTGAATGTGACATTGTTTTTTAAACAGGCGTTTCTTGTCTTCAAGGTTCTAGGTTAAGAAGTTGAAAATCAAAAACAAAGCTGCATATCCACTGAGTGGATTGGTGTTCAACAGCAGAAATTCATAAAGTGGTAACCTAAAGTTTGAAAACTGAGAATCGCATAACTAATCAAGAATATGTAGTTTACCTTGATAGAAAAAAACCCAAAACTTTTTAATATGCCTTTTTATAAATTAAAATGCTTCATTTTTTAGAGAAAATTTGATACCAGTTTGTATCAAATTAAGATTGTTAAAATTTTATGCTATGAATATAAGCCTAAATATATGTATATTTATTTAATCTTTACAAATAAAATTATATTGGATGAAAATATTATAAATCAACCATGCTAACAGCAAATGCTATGCACATAAATCATTGAAATCTTCCTTTGTAAGATAGTTAGAATCAAATAAATAAGCCCCCAAAAATTTTATGAGTTATGCCTTCACAAACATACTAAAAACATAAAGATTGATGGAAAAAAACAAGAACGAGAAACATATAAACTTTAGCACTCATTTACTCAAATTCACTAGAGTGTCACTTGGCCGGTTCTTCCACTAAGCTCTTCATTCATAACATTAAAATAATAGCTAAAATGAAATTAATGCAAAGTTCATTCAACAAATCAAATAGTTCTCGGTTAAGAATAAATTATATCTGAATAACTCTTATTGAGAAATATTTCAGTCTAGTGGAATAAGGAAATTCAGAGTTTCGCTCACTGTCTGATAGATTCAGCCTTATATCAGATCAGATTTTCCCTTTAAGTTAATTTATGTATAAAATCCTGTTTCAAATAGATTTATTGCATCAAAAGTAACAAACATTTTTGGCTTGTTTTTGACAAATAGTACATTCCTTTGTGACTCTGAACCAAAAGGTCAGGATCCATCACAAATCAGAAGAAACTGTTTTCAAAGGTTTAAATTTTGTCATGGATAGGGTCTGTTAAGAATGTAGTTATTAAAAAAAGATGTTTCATGTTTACATATTTAATGTTTTCATCAAGTTTAATTAAAAAGCTGTTGAGAGAACTAAAACATTTGTATATATTCATCTGTAGTCATGAAATTTTTTTTTAGCGTAGTTTCATATTTTTAATGGATTTTAAAAATGATGACACATAATTTTGTTTGAATGATAATTATGTTAGTTAAATGTACAAGAATTTGCTACCAGAAAATATTCAGTATAATATACAGGAGAAAAGAACGAATAAACTTTCTATAAAACAGTGCAAAAAGCTAACAACTTTAAATGTTTTTTAAATGTCACGGTATCCATTTACTGAATTCATTAGAATATTTTGCTTTTGTTTATTCACATTCTTTTAAAATAAGTTTGTCTCTTTGAAATTAAATTACTATTTTAAATTAATCTATGCATAATTCACATCTAACAGCAGGAAAATAAATTAGTTAAAAGATTGCATTGCAAAGAGTTTGAAATAAATTGTCATTAAGTTTTCGTAAAGTGGTTATTGTATAAAATTCTTTATAAACGGATTTTAAGAATTTAAATTATTTGCCTATATACTGAACTTATGTTTTCATATTGACTTGGTCTAGTTCTTTAAGAGATTTATTTTATTCTTCTCTTTAGATTATGGGAAATTCTAGTGAATTCAAAAGAGCTGTGGAATTGATCATTGATAATGTATCATTTGATACTGATAATACTATACAAGTGTTTGAAGCAAACATTAGGTAAATATTTGGTTTACTTATCTTTTAAATACAGTTTAGTTGTTAATGGCAATGTTAATGGTTTTAATGTTAATGGTTTTAGTTGTTTTGGCAATGCATATTTAAAAGGAAGTTCACTATGTCATACTAGTTTATTCCAATACTGTCTAATGTCATATTATTTTTATATGAATTAGAAAGGAATCTGAATGGAAGTAAAACTAAAATAGTTGTAGAAAAATTCCACACAATGCATTGGACACTCACATTTTAATATGTATTTATATTTTTATATCACTTAATGAACAATATTTGAGATAACTTACAACTTTTATTTATATATTTATAAAAACTGTGTTTTTCATGCAAACAAAAGAAAATTTTATTTTTATTTTGATATGGTTAAAAGTATCCAAACTTTTATAGATGTCTACTAACTTTTTTAATAATTATTTTTGTAATTTGTGCAAGTTTTCTATTAGGTTAACATTATTGTTTATGTGTAAATGAACTGATTGATATAAAAATGAGAATCAGCATATTTATTTTAAATAAAATATATCTGCTAAAGCTATCTTATTTTTTTTTATTATAATGGAGCCAATAAATCAAAATATTATCTGTTAAATTACAAAAATGATAGAAATTTATAAATGCTTGGTAAATTAATTTTAAATTTCAAAGCAACTCTGTAATTGCTTAGTAGTTTGAAACTTATATTAAATGTCTGGTTTAAGCTGGGCCGTTGGCAAAGTATTTGGTCAGATTACACTTCTCCTGATTGTTTCCTAGTGAATAAGTATCCAGCCTTATATCATTTTCCAGCACTTTTAAGGCCAAAAACTTCTTGGGTGTGGGAATGGTTGTGATATAATTCTACAATCTACCAACAGTAGATTGCACCAATAATGTCCTTAAATGCTTTCTAGAGTAAATCTCGGATCATTGCCAATGCTCTATAAGTGTAGCTCTAGTTTAATATCAAAAATTAAGTCATATTAAAATTCTTTGGTTTTTCAAATTTCCTATAATGGTGACATAGATCTTTATATATCTTTAAGAAACTTCAAAACTAGAAAAGAACCGAAAATTTCTTGAAAAAAAATTTGTTCGCATAATAGCAATTAGCCATTGTTTAAAATAAAATATACACTAAAGTTAATCTTAGATCAATTTTGTTATTTTTGATCAAAAGTTTAAAGAAACAAGAACGAAACAAGATATAAAACATCCAATAAGAGTGTTTTTTTTATTAAATTTTTTAGAAATTAAACTATTAGTTCAGCTTTAGAAAACTTCAGCATTGTTTTCTACTTGTATAAAAAAACTTTTAAGGCCATTAACTCGTAATTTAACATTAACATTTTGGCCATTAACATTTTAACTTATTGAAAATTCTCTTATAAGCAATTTTTTTTTAACTCATATAAAAATGCATTTTTCTTATATAAAGATGCTTAATGTAAACTTATTTTGTGATTTAAATTTTTTTTTCCCTCATAGGATTTTAGGATCTTTACTATCAGCTCATCTTCTAATAACTGATAAAAAACAGCCTTTTGGAAATTTAATACCTTCTGGGTACAACAATGATTTACTTGATTTAGCTCACGAATTAGCTAGTCGTCTTTTGCCTGCATTTGAAAATACTCAAACTGGATTACCATATCCAAGAGTAAGCAATTATTTCTTACCCTTTTTTCATTTTCTATTCATTTTAACCAACATTTTTTATTTTAATTATCTTTGTCAAAATAAAGGGCTAATCAGAAAGAAAAACTATGTCTAACTTAAAATTTCAACAAGATTAAAATTAAATTCTCTTAATTAAAATATTCCTCTTTTACTAATCAGCCATAGTTCAATGATTATATGCACTGTAATGTCACATCATCTTAGCTATTTATGAATTGTTTCTCTTGAAATTAGGTATAGGTTCTTGAGCAAAATATGTCGACTGTCATTTTCATAATTTAAAAAATCCCACTTTTATCACTAATTGCATTTTAATGCTCAGATTTTTAATCAATGAATCAGATTTTCTTAGACCACTTATGAATGTTTCTCTGAAGTTAGCTGAAGGTTCTTGCACAAAATAGGCAAACTATCATTTTTTTAAATTAAAAAATTACATTTTTATCACATTCAAATTCTCAGACTCACTTTTAATCAATGAATCAGATTTTCTAAGGCCATTTATGAATTGTTTCTCTTGAACTTAGCCAAAGGTTCTTAAGCAATAATAAATTCCACTGTCATTTCACATTACACTGTCACATGACTCTCGTTTTCATAATTAATAAATTCCACTTTTATCACTAATCACATTTTAATGGTATCTGGTATCAAACTCACTTCTAATCAATGAACCAGATTTTCTTTTGCTATATATGAATTGCTTCTCCTTAACTTAGCAAAGGTTCTAAATAAAATATATACACTGTCATTTTCATACTTAAAAAATTCTACTCATTACTAACCACATTTCAATGATCAAACTCATTTCTACTCATTAAATCATATTTTCTTAGGCCATTTATGAATTTTCTTGAACTTAGTAAAAAGATCTTGAGCAAAATATGAAGAATTGAGGTTTAATTGTATTACAGTTAATTATTTTATTTATTTTGAAACTGTGATTTTTAAATGTTAGCAAGGAATTTATAATATTCCACGATTCCAAACGTAATCTTATTTTGAATCTCAGGTCAATCTTCGGCATGGTGTTCCTGAAGATGTGTCTACTCACACTTGCACTGCTGGAGCTGGATCAATGCTTTTAGAATTTGGAATGCTTAGTAGACTATTGAAAGATCCTGTGTATGAAGGTGTTGCTAGAAGAGCAGTGAGAGCTCTTTGGCAATTGAGGTCTAATAATACTGGATTGCTGGGTTAGTATGAGGGGTGCCCAAATGTAAAGGAGTCTTTAGATGTATCAATCAAATTTCACTGATAGATATTTAATGGTGTAGTGTTCTTCTTTGTTTTAAAAGCATAGCTAACTGTTGTGCAGCATTGTTCATACGGTTCATTGTATGATGAATTTTCTTAGATTAGCACAACTTTCAGTCATCTAATTTCTTCACTATGAAGGGAAGCATATGCTTCACAAATTTATTTTGAGATAGTCTCAGAAAGTGGACATCATCTAGTATGATACACCATGCAAGACACTGCTTTCACACATCTCTTCCATCTTGCAATAAATTTGTGAATCATGTTCTCTTTCTGAACTAAGAACTAAGTTAGTTGCTCTTTGTGCTGATCTGAAGAAATCTATAGTGTAAGAACTGCAGAAACAACTCTTTAAAAAGGAGAACATTAGGGTGAAGCCATTAATTATGCATGCGTAATAGGAAATATCACCAAATCATAGTATTTTTTGGCTCACACGTTAAATCACTGGAATTTGATGCATTGTCGCTACAGCTAAGGTTTTCTTTTACATTTGGGCATACCTTACATTTAAATCATTAAGATAATTACATTAAGTTAGTTACATTTAGGTTATAAACAGATACTTTGGTATGCTGAATTCTTTTGTGAGAAGTATTTCTTTAAAGATTCTTTTGTATTTTTTTTGTTGAAAGTTGTAAGTTCCTTAAATTCTGCAAAGCTGGAGAAAACTAAATTCCTTTAAATTTTTAAAACTTCACAAAACATATAAACGCCAGCCCATATTTACAAATCTAAAAGGTGAAGAAGACTATCACTTAAATGGCTTGCAGTGAAGGTGATATTAAAATTTAAAAAAAAAATTAGAAGTGCTTTGCTTGAAATCAGACGATAAAAATTAATCGAGTTTGCGTTGACATTTGACAGGCTATAGTGCTTTAGAGAATGAAGAATCACATGAAAAAAGCTAAATTTTGGGGAAATGTTATGCTGTAATTTGTTTAATTTGAGATTCTTTTTTTCCTTTGAAATTACATAATTTGTGAAAATCTTATTCATTAAACTTTAGCACAAAGAATACTCTATGAATCCAATTCTCCTAAACAGGATTTAAACAAGGGTTTTGTAAGATAAGCAAGTTTCTTCCTGGGGTAGTTCATGGGTAGATGGGAGAACCCCACCTAATTTTTGTTATAATACCAATTTTTCATTAGAGTTGTAACGTTTTTTTTTTTTTTTTTTTAAATTGTATTTTTTTTTCTATATTGTATTTTTTTTTTATATTGTAAAATGTATTTATTTCTGTGTTTTTTACATTCTATGAGTTTTTTTCTTTTAAAGTTTGTTGAAAAGTAAAAGCTCTGTGTTTAATATCATATCTTGCTGTATATTGTGTTTGTATTTTATGATAACTTACTGTTACAATCAACCACGCTTAAAGGAATACCCTGGGTTCCAGCCAGATCCATGCAATTAAGCGGGTTATTTGATTAAAGGGGGAGTACAATATTCAAATTTAAATTCTAAATTTTTTCAAAATTTTTCTTTTTAATGGTATTTAATGTATAATAAAGCATTTTGATTAAATAAATTCAGTTTAATGATCAATAATGAATTATAATTAAAGCTGTATGTGTTAGTATCATAAAATATAAATGTTAATTAAAGTTAAATTAAAATAAATAAATGTTACTGAAAAGTATAATATAGGTACTAAAATATTATTTGATCCCTTCCAAAAAAATCTATAATTGAAGACTGTTTTTATACCCTTTTAATTCGTCAATTTATCAAAATTAGATTTTCTCTTTCAGTTTCTACTAAGACTTTAATGACTTGTGTATTCCTTTAAAATACATTCAGATTTTTTATTTTCACTTATTTATTTTTTTCTAATCCTCAAAATTGGAGAAATTAATTCCAAATTAATGCACTATTTTAGTTTGGAATTTTTTGTTTCCAAAGTTCATTTTCTTTACTTGATTAATTCAAATCGAAACTTTTTGAGCTGAACTTGCAGCCAACTCAGAGTATTCACTGGATTAAGCAATGGTTATTCTACTTAAGAGAAAGACACACTGTAAACTAGTGTGTTAGGCTTTTGAAACTTTTTCTTGTCAATGCTAATAGCGTACCAGGAGGGGATCACAAAGCTTCACCACAAAACAAATCACTCTGTACCTTTTTTAAATTCTAAATGATGTGTGAATGAAATAAGTTAAAGAGGGGTAAAACCCTCTTCGTTTTCTTCAATGTATAACTGGCAACAAGATTTATTTAATGAACGGGAAGTCCCTATTAAAGTGACCACCTATTGTATCCTTATCTTAACTGAAAATGGAAATTCCATTTTAGCTGGTGAAACATTTCTCAGAAATAATAATTTTTTTTTCATTTCCATATCCCTTCTTTATCCAATTAGGCAGGGACAAAAAACAACAAATATCTGTTTAAACGGGGAAGTTTAACCTTAGTTTCATATAAAATTATTTGGTTCCATTAAATTTTATTCATATAAGCGGGTTATTTGATTATCCGATATGCAATTAAATGGGGACGACTGTACTTTATTTAGCTTGCGATCTTCAATTTTAGGTAATGTTGTTGATGTTCAATCTGGAGAATGGATAGGACAAATGAGTGGTGTTGGAGCTGGCTTGGATTCATTTTATGAATACCTATTGAAAGTATATAACTTATCATTAATTTAATATTTTATGTAGCTTTTTGTTACTATTATTATGGCACTGCATGGGCAAGATTTTTATCCACTCTATCTCTACTCTAAATTTTGACAATTTTCAAAGACTTTATTATGAAACATTTATGACCAAGGCTGAACAAAATTTACTGTGGGATCCTTCCTCAAAGTACAAAAAGCCTTCTTTTAAACAATTAGAAAAAATTGTTGTCTCAGTTTATATAAAAAATACCATAAAAATTTCATACTTCAATTGAAATTTAATATTTATATTAAAACTAATTTCCCTTTACTTATAAGAGATTTATTAATTAAGAATTAGTACTATTTAAAACCATTTTTAAAAAAAATTTTGATTTCTATTTTCTTTTTTTTATAATAAAATTGCTATATACATAATTTTGTTTAATATTGCATACCATTAAAAGTTTTATGATGTCGATTAATATTGCTTTTAAGGTCTTCAAATAATTTTTGCAATTTTATATTTTTTATTGCTTGTACAATTTTTTTTTATTGCCTGTAAATGATGGTTGTAATGGCACACTGGTTAAACTACTGAGTTGTTGCCATGAAGGGCTAGGATTCTGTCATCAGTGGCAGCTTACAGCTCACCCAACTTTAAATCTATGGGTACTAGCTTGTCTGGGAAGTAAAAGCAGCTGGTGCACAATACAATGCTAACAACATTGTCATTATCATGTTGCCGGTCTTGAAATCAGAGAACTTTAACCAAAGAATATACATGGAGAAGGAAGGCTAGCTTCCATAAACATAATGTAATTTGGTCTCCCAAGAGTTGATGTGGCTTGTGTATAAAGGGAGTTTGTACCCTACTTTTTTCCCGACCACCTTCTAGAAGTCAGCGGTTTAAATCAATGATCATTCCAATGTGTTTTGACCCTCGGAATTGGGGTTAGGAGGAATTTCATTAGATTTTATTTATGTCTAGTCTGCTACATTTTGGCAGAAACAAAACATTTATTACCAACACTGCACTATCAAGATATTTCTTGAGAATTTGTTTGTATCAACCATGTAATTTTTTTTGGAGATGGAATGAAAGAATTATCTGGCAGTTGTTTTTCTGGTATAGCATCCCGTTCTGAGCATTTTCTCACATTCAATTCATACTTGGAGAGCTTGAAATGATTTGGAGAGCTCCTTTTTATACTCTTTGCCTTAAACTTTATAATTCTCTTGACCAACAAGATTTTCTTTTTTAAAAAATCCAATATAATCCAATAATTAATTTTAAAAAAACTCTTTAATATCAATGTATAACATTCAACTGTGGCTAATCATAATGATAGGTAACTTCTGCATCAAACATCTTGCAGCAGTAGAGGTAGGCATGATGTTTCAATGGTAGATTAAAAACTAGCGCATCACACACAAAATAAAAATTGTAAATTAATATAAAATTAAGATCCATTTCTTGTTAAGTATGTAATAGGGAGTATTGATAACAGTAATCTCTTGAATTCCAGTAAAAACTCCTTTATGAAGTTGAAACCAATAATATATCCATTAGATTGCAGTTACAGAGAATACTGACGGACGGCAGGAATCTGTCCCACTCTTGTAAAAACTCCATTAACAAGTCAAAACCTACTAAATGACAAAGTTGGTATATACAAGAGTTAAAAGGACAAAATTGCATATTTTGTTTGTTTGTGCTTGCCTTTTATACCTGAAGTTTACAACTATAAATTAACATTTCAATTACTTCAAAACTTACCTATTAAATTGATTTTTAATCCTGTTTCCAAAAAAGAATCTTCTGACCCTGCCTCTTCCACGAAAGTAGTTTTTGAAAATGTGCATCTTGTACTAATGATCAGATAAAATCATAGTGTGCTTATGAGGATATCTTATTTTACAGTCATATATCCTATTTGGAGAAAAAGAAGATTACAGAATGTTCAATGAAACTTATTACACTATTAAACGTTATATGAGAAAAGGGTAAGTTTCTTTTTACCCAATATTTTCAAAATCTATATTAATCATCATCATCTAATATTTCTATTCTGTAATGTTTCTATTATCTAATACAGTAGGGAACCGATTATCCGGAACGATCGGGACCATCGCTATTCCGGATAACTGATTTTTCCGGTTTTCTGAGTCGCTACAAAAAGCCGTTTTTTTTATTGTTAAACCCAACTAAAAAAAAAAAGTTTTTGGAAGTAATCTTAAAAAGAAGAAAAAACGATGAAGTAATACACTAATGATTATTTATAAAATGATGGTAAGGTAAACATATTTTTAAAAAAAAAATCCCAAAATCTTATGAGGAAAAAAAAATATTTTTTTTTTTTAAATAGCAAGAAAATTTATCGAATTTCGTTCCGGTTTTTTGGTTTTCCGGTTTTCTGATTTCCGGATAACGGGTTCTGTACTGTATATCTAATATTTACCTATTATTATCTAATATTTCAATATCTGAGATATTCTTTGAGAGAAATTTTTTGGATTTATTTGAAGTTGTTCTATGAAATTGATAATATTGTTCTGCACATTTTTCACCATTCAAACCCTTATTTACAACAGATTAGGATTTAAGCTGGACTTCACGGTCAACTTATTTATAAGTAGATTATTGAGGAGTATATTATGTACACTGCAGATTTAAGTAACTTAACTTACAGGGGTTATGCTATATGTTATAAAATGTGTTACAGAAAATATGCAATAAGTGCAGAATATACCAAATGGAGTTATTTATTACATGGTTTTTCAATATTTTCAAATGAATTTCTTATATATATTTATATTTTTTCTATTGCTAATCATTGATCAAAACATCATGGCAGGACATTGTACAAGATTACTGAACTACTTTGAAATTTCACTAAAAAAGGTCCCTCTTTTTCAAGATAATTTCTAAGATATTATTCTAAGAAAATGAATGCCAATATTACTTACAATTTATTTTTTTCAGTCATTATTTTCTTTATTTATATTTTGAAATAACTACATTTTATGCTTCTTACTTTTGTTTCAGCTTTACTAAATTTTTTATAGTAGTTGCACAAAAATAATGATATAAAATAAAACTGTTCATGAAAACTGTTTACCTGCAGGTCTTTCTAAATTTCTACAGATATTCTAAGGAGAAAAAAAAAGAAGAAAAAAATTGCGAATGATAAGTTTAAAAAATTTTTTTGAAAATAATAATAAAAAAAAATTTAAGAAATTTATCAATTTCAATAACAAATTACCTTACAATGCACTCTCAATTATCCATATGTGGGTTATGGAATTTAAGAATTATCTAGGCTTGATGTATTATTAAAAAAAATTAAATTTTGGAAAATTTCTATAAATTAAAAAGGAATATAGATTTAATAATGATTTGATTTTGTTGCTTATAGCATCTGATTAATGGAAAGAATATATTTGTGCAATAATCATTGTTTACCTGGTAACATATGTAAATATTCATATTCTAATGAAAAAAAAAATAGAATTATGAAATTATTAGCATATTTGATAACAGAATGAACATGTTTGCTTGATAATCAAACTATTTGCTATTCACTCTTAACTTTATGGGACAAAATGGAAATTATCATATCTAAATATTTATTAACTTTACATGTAATCAATTTCTTTAATGTGTACAAATTTTATAATATAGATGCTTTTGGATTATCTTTTTTCCCCCACCTCTTCCAGGGTAGTTAAGAATATGTCGTATTTGATAGGTTTTTATAAATTCTTTGCTTTAATGAAAATTAAAAGAATGCAACTATTTTTATTCAATTGAGAACGAATATTTCTCTGAAATGTGTTATATTTATTTACAAGTATTTTTTTATTGTTACTAGTCGACCTCATTGCAATCATGGATTTGGAGGGCATCCCATGTACGTTAATGTAAATATGATTGATGGTAGCACTCTCACACTTTGGATAGATTCTTTACAGGCTGCTTTTGCTGGTGTTCAAGTAAGTGAATCCAAATGTCATCTTGAAAAAGATAAAAATCTGTCAAGAAGTGTTATTTTTTCTGCAATTTCAATAGCCTATAAAATCTGACATAATTGCCATTTGTATGATTGCAAAAAATGTTGTCTATTATAATATGCCGATAATAATACCGATTTAATAATAATAATAATTAGAAATAATAACTAACCGATTTCTAGATTATTGAAACCAAGTTGTGTTTCATTTTTTAACAAGCTAAATTAATGTTTAGGTTAAATATTTTCTATAATTTAAAAACCCTTTTATAAAAAGAGAGTGGTTTAATTAGTAATTTTTGCAAACAATCACTTGGAAACCACTAACTAGTGTCAAATGTTGCCAGATTTGACAGTGATTCTTTTATAATAATTAAATAAATGAAAGAAGCTTGATTAAAAGGAAATAAATTTTGAGTAAATAAATTTTTTAATTTTTTCTCTACATTTTAAAAAGAAATAACATAAATAAATCACTAACACTACTATTTTCACATTACATTTCTCCATCATTGCATGTTTTGGGTTTTAATATCATATTTACATTCAGTAAAAACTCTTCCAATAACTCAAAACATTAAATGATTCATGCTTATTTTCAAGATTCTTCTGTATTTAAGGAAAAAGTTAACTTTGAAATTCATTTCTAATTCTGTTTCAGTATTTAATCTTCTCAATTAATAAAGTAATCAAATTTAAATAAGGAATGTATGCTGTATACAAAACTTTTTGAAAAGTATGAAGCATATAACAAAGTTTCATGTTTATTTTCAAGATTTTACTGTATTTATAGAAAAATTTAATTTTTAATTTCATTTTCAATATTGTTTCAATTTTAAATTTATGAATTTTTGAAATACCTCGAAAATATTACTAGGTCCTCACTGGTGATATAGAAGAGGCTATTTGTGCTCATGCTCTGTATTATTCTATTTGGAGAAGATTTGGTGCATTACCTGAAAGGTTCAATTGGCAGAAAATAAGTCCAGATTTAGCTTTTTATCCTCTACGACCAGAACTTATTGAATCTACTTATTTACTATACCAAGCTACTAAAAATCCATTCTATTTTCATGTGGGACAAGAAATTATTGAAAGTTTAAACAAATACTCAAAAGCTAAGTAAGTATTTTTAAAATATTTAAAACTAATTTAAGGACTGTATTTAAAAATGTTTAGAAGTTATTCATGCACTAAAATTGTACATATCCAACAATATATCCTCGTACGTATAACGTTGCAAAGTTCAGAAGTTCAAAATTTAGAAGTTGAAAGTAAAGTCTCTTGATGAATATCAATTTTAAAAAGTTAATTTTTTTGTGAATTATTATTAGGCCATATTTTGTTCATGTTTTAAAAACCTTAAAATTTCATCGTAAACATTTCTTCGTCAATTAAAATATTAAATCTTATTATTTTAGTATTCATTAAACAAAAAACTGATATATTGCTTTTAAAAATAAATTTTTTTTGCTCAAATTACTTAATAAGGATATAAAATTTTTCTAGCTTATTTAGCTATGTGAAGAAATGGTTGAAAACATTTCCTTAAATAAGTTTAAAATAACATAACTTTGAAATACATAAGTTTACATAAGTTTAAAATAATATTTCAAAGCTTAAATTCACTATTCTTTTACAGACTGCCTTTCTTTTACAGGATTTGTTTTCCGATTCTAAAATCAAAAGCTTATTGGTGTAGCCCCAGTGCAACATTTACAAACAAACAATTCTAATCCTAATTTGCTCATGTTTTTCATTCATGGCATTTTGGCATTGAACTTGAATTAGCCTGGAAAAATTTATTTTAAAAATTAAGAAAAAAATATGTTCTAAATTACTTAAACATAGGGAAACAGTGGTCACTTGTGTGTTATCTTTATCCTGTGATATAATTAACAAACTTGCTTGAGGAAAATTCCATTGCTAAATAAAAAATAATTCTGAAAGGGTTTTTTGGGGAGCACATTTTCAAACAATTGATTGGTTTCTCGTTATTGTTAAGTACTTCCAATTTAATTACAATTCGTTTATTTATTTGTTTAAATGTTTTCCATTTCTTAATGTATGTTAATATAGGTGCGGCTATGCTACTATCCACAATGTACAAGATAAAACTCTGGAAGATAGAATGGAAAGTTTCTTTTTAAGTGAGACCTGCAAATATTTATATTTAGTAAGAATATTTGATTAATATTTTTAGAATTATTGATCTTTAATATTTTTACAACTATTATGTTTTTGACTGACTATCTTAATTTTTTTTTAAAAAATGGTATTATTAAAATATTCTATTACCCTTCAAATTTCTAATGCTGATTATATTCTAAGAATTAGTTTTTAAATAAAATTTTTAAAAAGGATTATTTATTTGAACATTGTTATTAAAATTTCAAACAACACTGAATTTTTGGTTCAACATAGAAAAAAGTAATGTAAATAGCAAATATTAGTATTAGTATTTAAAACTTATTTAATTAACTAGTATGAATTATTATTAAATTATTAATTTGTTATTACTTATTAAATTATTAGTACTGAAACTTATTAATATAAACTTATTAATATAAACTTATTAAATTATCTAAAACTCTTTTTACAAAATACACTCAGAATGTTTAAACTATGATCCGATTTAATATGTTTAATTAATAAACTAATATATGTTTATGGTTAAAAGTGCTATATATTTCATATAATTTTAAATATAGTTCATATAGTTTTACCAAATGAGTATATTCAAATTAGTAAAACAGTGGGATGATTGCCTAAATGATCAAGGTGTTTTTTCTTGTTTGGCATATGAAATCTGAAGTATAAAGTATTCCAACCCAAAATTTTTTACTACTTTTATGTGTTCTTGTGATTGCACTATAGGCACTACATATTTCCTAGCTTTTAAAATTTCTTTAATTACTTAAACTTATTTTTTTTAATAATTTTTAATTGAATTATAATTAAATAATTCAATTAGTTAATTTTTATTTAAAGCGAACATTAAATATTTTATTATTTTCTTATTGATCAATGTAACGGCTAACTTTTTATTTCAATACGAATGTGAACTCATTAATTCACTGTCGAGTCTAATCGAAAAAAAATCTGTTTATAACTCCACACTTACTTATCACAGTCTTGTTGGCAATTCGCGATCGCCAAGGTATTTTTTTTTTTAAACAAATATATATAACTTTATTGGGAACAAAAACACATAAATACAAAGAATATATATTCGTCGTCAAAAGGAAAATCCTGTCCAGGTGACAAAGAAAAGTAATACAATAAATTTAAAATAGAAATTTAAAAAAAAAGAAAAAAAAAGGGGGTTATTACAATCATAAATTATTTTGCTAATCATAAGACGTCATATATTGTTGAATACTGTAATAATAGAAAAAAAAATGCATGAAACTATAGAAAAAAATAACAAAGGTAACATAAGAAATTAATTTGGATTGGCACAAGACTGGTATAAAAAATCAAATGCTTCCTTTAAAGTGAAAAATAGAGATCTAAATCGTCAATGTTCATCACAAATTGAAATAAAGCACGCTTAAAAGAAGAATATATTTTGATGTTTTGCAACTGAAATGGTAATTTATTATATAATTTAGGTGCTAAGTAAAAAAACTGTTTTCGTGAAATTTCTTTTGTAAAGAAGGGAATCTCATACATTTCAGTTGGTCTCCTTTCAGACACATTAGTTTTTAATTTGCATATTAATTTATTGTTGTGTAAATAGAGTAAAATACGAAAAAATACATTATGGCGAAATGGTAATAGGTTAATTCTTGTATATATATTGGTAGTAGTTACACTTGAATTATTTATATTTAGAGAATTAATAATCTTGAAGCATTTATTCTGAACTGAGATTAAAGGAAGTAAATTAGTTTTATATTCACCGCCATATATTATTGCACCATAATTAATTAAAGAATAAAACCAGGAGTAATAGAGTGCTTTCACAAAATTAAAATGAATTTTATTCTTAAGGTGATAAAATTTAACTAAAACGAAACGCAATTTTTTAACTAAATTGTTAATATGTGTTTTCCATTTTAAATTAGAATCGATATATAGTCCTAAATATTTGATATTGTTTACAGATTGTAGAATATAGCATTGACAATTTTCATTAGTACTTTTGCAGGAGAGAGAGTGAAATTTTAAATTTAAGTTAAATTCTGATTTTCTTAAACTGAAATAAATATATTTAGTTTTATTTAGATTTAAATTTAAGTCATTTATTGTAAACCATTTTGAAATTATGCGTAAATCAGATTCAATTTGAAAAATTAGTTGATTTAAATCAGTGCAAGAATACAAAATTACGGAATCATCAGCATACGTTATTATCTTACCAAAAAGTTTGAGTTGACAAAAGTCATTGATGAATATAATAAACAATAAGGGTCCTAGAATAGATCCTTGAGGAACACCACGGTTTGAAAAAATATAATTACTAAAATTACTTCGGATTTTAACTCTATGTTCTCTGTTTGAAAGATATGAAACAAACCAATTTAACATAATTCCTCTGAAACCAGCAAATTCTAATTTTTTAATTAAAAGATTGTGATTGACATTATCGAAAGCTTTTGATATATCAAGAAATATAGCTACTGTTGTCTTATTTTCGGCAATACTATTATGAATAAATTTTGAAAATTCCAAAAGAGCTTTTTCTGTACTTTTGCCTTTAATAAATCCATGTTGATTAACAGAGAAAAAATTTGTATGTTTTAAATAATTGTACATTTTATCAGCTAGAGCTTTTTCAATGATTTTGGAAAAAACAGGTAATATTGAAATTGGTCTATAGTTTGATAGGCAATTTTTATCGCCGGTTTTAAAAATAGGAGTTATGGTTGCTCTTTTTAAAGAAGTTGGAAATATGGATGACTTGATTGAGGTATTGATGAAATTAGTTATAAAATTTATATTATTGAGAGCAAATAGTTTAATTAATTTTACATTAATACCGTCATAGTCAAAGGAGTTTTTATTAGAAAGAGAATTTATTAAGTGAAGTACTTCACAATCATTCAATTCTAGGAAAACAAACGAGGTTAAACTTGGTGAAATATATATTTGCAAACTGTTTAAATTTGGGTTTGAGGTACTGTAGGCATTTGCAAATGATTTATTGAATTGATCAGAAGATTCATAGTCGTTTAAAATATCAGGTAAAGTAGGTGATTTGCTCTGATTACCAATAATACTATTTACAAGATCCCATTTTTGTTTATTTGAATCACAATTTAAAAATTTGATTTTGAAATATTCTGATTTTGCTGTTTTAATTAAGTTCTTAAGCTCAGAAACTATAGTGTTGTATGCTGTTTTGTAAATAATATCCCATGGATATTTTCTGTTTTTTTTAAAATAGTTTTTCATTTCTTCGAATTAAAATCAAGATATTACTAGTCATCCAGTTATTTTTGGCTTTTTTGTTTGATTTATGCTTATATTTAAAATTATTTTTTAAATTATTGAGTCCTATACCTATAATATTGATTATGGGGGGTTGGCTTTATTTTTGGCTATGTTATTTTTTGATAAATCACCAACCATGGATCTCTTCTCATTATTCTAACTGTCTGTTGGGAACAATTCAATTATTTTTTAATTTGGCTTTTGATTAGGCAGGTCATGGGGGATTTATCTCTAATGGCCTGTCCTTATTAATATTATTATATAAAATTTATTTGACATAAAGTCTTATGGATAAAATTTATTATTTGTATATTGAGCTCTACAAATACTACTAAATAAGAGTTTTAGTAATTATGATCCAGTTTTCATCTTCATTATAACTTCAACCACACCTGAATTTCCTCATTACAACTCTATTTAAATTTCCATACGTTAATAAAGGATCTATTATGTAAAACAAGGCATTAAAATTTTTAGCTCATCATTGGCAATCGAATATTTTATACTGGCTAATAAGCTTAATCTTAAAATAAATAGATTTAGCCAGTATAAAATAATAAGCATAATCTTAAAACTGAATTTTAAACTAAGAGTTTAATTCACAAAGTAAATAGTTTTGATTAATTCAAACATCTCTTAAAATAAATATACCATTTGATTTCAAAAGTAATTAATATAAAGAAACAAAAACTAGACATAAGGAATGAAATGCATTATAAAAAAAATTACGACTCATTGCTAATTAATTTGGCAATAAAAATAAATAAACAATGGTTTTATTTAAATTTTACTTTATGATTTATATTTATTTACTATATATTTATTGCTAACTAAAAATTAAAAAGAAATGAAATCATACTTACCATTTGTGATATTATTTTAGCTATTTGATGTTGATAATCCAGTGAACAAAATGGCCAGTCATTATCTTTTTACTACTGAAGGACACATATTTCCTCTACATCATCAAACAAGGCAGAAACCATGGGATTTTACTAAAGAGCATACTGAGATCCAAGTTGAATTAATTCCTGATATTCCACCTTCTGTAAAGAACAACAATACACAGTCAAATGTAAGTATATTACATGCCATCTTGGCAGTAAAATATTTTCCATGGATGGCTGATACTAATACTGATTATCTGTGATAACTAATACTGATTTTCTGTAATAGCTACTGATTTTAGTTTAGATTATGAAAAGTTTTCAAATTCTGTATTAAAATCAAAATTTCGGACTATTTTAATTTTTTTTATTTATACCACTCCTTATTTACTCTTTTTTTTTTAAAGTTTGAAAATGACCCATATTTTAGTAACTTTTGTATTTGAAATATAAACTGATGATGACTAATTGATGATTTAAAAAAAAAAAATCCCACTTTCAAAAATATTTGTAACATTTAGGGGATTACATATTTGTTAGGTCCCTAGGCCTCTAGAAGACCTCTTTGGCCTTATAAGTCAAGCCCTGCTTCTAACATATTCTGTATTTCGCATATTTATCTTATTATGTTTCTTAAATTAGCATATATTCTAATTATTGTTACTTAAACAAAGCGAATAATCTTAAATCTAAGATTAATCTAAAAATCTTTATCTAAGATTTGATCCTTTAGTAATTGGTATCTACAGCAGGGGTCACTTGTGGCCCACACAATAATTTTGGGTGGTCTCTTGCCCCTTCTTAAGTATGAGTCAATTTTTAGCTCTTTCCTCCATTTTGTACGTATATTAGTAAGGGATGACTTAAAAGGCAATTAACCAATTCCACAGGTTTCATTGGTGAGGATTTAGCAATGCTGTTCCATGTATGCATATTTTGAAGTAACTGAAATTGTCCATGACCAGATGTTTCCAAAATTGTGCCTGCTCAGTTTCATCTGAACATATGTATTTGAATATGAAAGGCTCTGAAATAAGATTGATAATTTTCTGATAAGGAAAACTGTGAATCAGGTTTTTTGCCAATTACATTTGAACAGATTTATAAACCATGAAATAATTTGCTATATTCTAATGGGTAGTTCTTAAATATTAAACTTTTTGGCCAAGAAAGGCACCAGGAGAGGTGTCTGATGTAATTCAATGTCTCATAAAATATTATAGAAACAAATTGAGCAAGAAAATATTTACATGGAAATAATTTTAACTGGACATAAATCTGTTAATTCTTATTGTGGGAGTTATAGTGACTCGGGATAGAGCATTCACTTCCTAATGAGGTGGCCAAGGTTCGAATCGACGGCTGGTGGATACGAATTTATTCCCGGCTCATTCCGACCACAGTGCTAACGTAAAATATCCTTAGTGGTAGGTGAATCATGGTTTAATATCCCTTTGCCATGCAATACAAGTGTGGGTTAGTTCATTAAAAATTTCTTCCACAAAGGCTAATTTGCCCCAATGCTTAATCCAAGAGTTCCTTTGTCTTCTGGGTTTTGTTCAAAATTACAAGGCTATGGAGTTGAACACTGATAGTTGTAAACTCAGAATTGGGTCAGCTGTTCAACGCCAGTTATAAAATGAAATGAAATAAAATTCTTCTTGGGAGGAATTGTCCCAAGTCACATAGTTTATCTCTAAGTATTGTGCCCTTCAAAATGCAAAAAGTTTGAAACCCCACTAAGTTAATGGTCAAGGACGGATGCATTCAATTAGTTTGCATGGTATTATTTTAAAAGGTTATTTCATGGTATTTTACTGAAGTCTATAAGTTTAGTCATGCAACTGTATTTCTTCTAATCATGAAGACTCGTTAAAGATAAATTATATAATAAGTCTCAAGAAAATTACATAAATCTAAAATCATTTATAAAATGAACCAAAAAGGTACAGCCTGTACATAATTAAAATCAGCAGCTGCTTAAGCACAACGTAAAGTTCTAGTTGATGAGAAAAGAAGTACCATTTCAGGCAAAAAGATCTTAACTACTGATGAAACCACTTTGCATAACTGTCAGCAAGTTAGCTATGTTCCCAAAAACTTAGAATGGCTTATACACCTCCGAAAACAAAATTGGTTGGATGGGAGTAATCTGTACCTGAGGCAAGTGTTATTGTGTTAAGGCTTTTTGGGTGGCTACTGGGTTGGAATTTAATGTGTCTGCCGGATCGAACCTCCGCAACACTGCAGTATCTGACACTGGCCATAGTTTTGGATGCTTCTTTTCCAGGTACTTTCTGTTTGTTTTTTGGAACTCTTATAATTTCTTTATATTACAGTGTGAAAGGATACCTGATGAACGACAGTACCTGTTACCACTTAAGCCAAAATACATGCTTCAAATTAGTCGAGCTTTAGGTCTCGATAGTTGATTTATTTTTATAATAAATTATTTTGTGTACAAAGAGAAAAATACTCATTTGTAAATTGTAAAAAGAGATGTTTATGTTTTGTACTAAAGTGTTAAAGAAAATCACTTGTTATTTTGAATACTGTAAAGATATTTTTAAACTTAATTTATTTTGAAATATACACTGTTAAAATATATTTTCTTCAAATAAAATTTTATGCTCAATCTGACTATTTTGTTTTTTTATTTATGAAAGTTTTGAGTTTATTGTTGAGTTAATTGTTCAATGTATAATAAAATGATTATTGTATTTAATTACTTCATCAAATACTTAAATTTTAAACAGTTTTTTAAAAAGTTATTTTCAAACTGTGCTTGAAGTAATTATTTTTAAATTTACACTTTAAATATTTGATTGTACATGTTTTACCCACATGGAACATTTCATTTTCACTTTCTGTTACCTGACATGTGGCCAGACAATCAGTAAAATATAGCAAGATTTTTTCATTTGACTGCAGCACTAGAGTGCAGTACAAAAAGAAAAAAAAATGAAGCACTTAGAATAATTTTTGTTCTAATAATCGGATCTTTCCGTTCTAGAAATCAATCTTGATGGCTCCAGGGGGTGATCTTAAATATGATAACTAGTGCAGACCATATTTTAAGTTACAAAATCAGACAAAAAAACGTACTTACTTTGAATAAGCATACCTATTTTTTGATGTATTCTGATTTTTGACCTCTGAAATATAGGGAGTAGCCATAATTTAGGAAATATGGTCAAAATAGTTTGGTCAGGAGAATGGTCCAAAGTTTTGACCCCTTAATTTTATTTTTTGCGTATTTCACCATATCTCGAGAACTTAAGGGAATTATATAAAATTTTTGCACACATTTATAAAATTTGTTTATCCAAAAAGTTAATCCATGCAACAAAACAAAAAAAATTTAATATTTTTTATTATTTTATTTAATAATTGTAGAAATTTTTTTCAATTGTAAGGTATGCAATTTCTTACATCATTTTTTAAGAATGTTATTTTCATGGCAAAATGAAAAATTTGCTCAAAAACAGTTGAATAGTTCCTGAGAAATTTAATTTTAATAAAGAACTTAATTTTTTTCTGTATATTAATTGTTCTGAATCATAATGCCCTCAATTTTTGTTGCAACCTCACGAGCATTTTGAAACTTTGTATGGATGAAATTGAGAACAACACATTATTGAAGCAAATTAAAATATTTCCATTCAATTGAAAATAATTTTCTGCTAACCAACTGTAGTTATTGGTCAAAATTTTTTATAGCTTAAGAAAATGCTCTAAATATATGTTTCTCTAATTTATTTTCTCCGCCTATTATTATACTATAATAATAGGCGTGGATTACTTTTTTTGTAATGATAATATATAAAATTGAAAGCTGAATGAATTTTAATTAAAAATGAATTTTAATTCCTGCAGAATTTGACAATAAAGGAAAAAAAGCTTTTTTGAAAGTATGAATCATGCAAAATATATTTTGGATGATCTATACACTAAATAAAGATCTAATCATCGAACCTTAGTTAATCCCAGGTAAAGTTTTAATGTATGAAAGCTTATGGCGAATCTATAAATTAACAGTTAAATTTCACTATCTTGGGAGAGCGAAATGTATCCATAAAAGAAAAAGATTGATTCATTTTACACCAAAAAAATTTTTCTACTATTTACTTGCTAAATTTGAATTGTCTTATTGTGTTTCTGTTTGTTTCAGAATTATTGGATAGATTTGCTTCAGAATTTAAAGTTTGGCACATTAAAAGGCGTAATTTAACATGCGTGAAACTTTCCATGTTTTTATGATTCTAAAGATTTTTTATCGTCATTTAAGTAAATAGTTAAAGTTATTATTTTTTTCTTTTTTGTATTCAATAAATGTGTTTTCTATTCTCTTATAAGAGGGAAAATGATTTGTTCTAAATAAATGTAGGAAATATTTAGAAGTTTGAAACTAGGGATGTAACGAATACTGATTTGGCCGAATACAGAATATTCCGCCAAAAAAAATCGGCACATATCAAATTGCATAGTAAAAAAATCATTAATAAATTATATATATACATACAGGCCCCACACTAAGAATTTCAAATTATTAGCCAGTAAATAGTTAGCCAAATATCAAAAGTATTTGCCAATTTTCGAAAGTCCTTGCCAAGTGAAAATCTGAATTTTTTCCTGTAGAAAACTATTTTAAGGTAGTTTGTTTCAGGCTTATATTATTTAGATCCAATTCTAATTGGTTATGCGGCGCATCTAGCAAAAATTACTGTAATCGAATAAAAAATACTGATTTTTTTAGAAAAATTCATTTTGATGTAGTTTAGAGGATCGAGTTAAATATATATTTTTCTTTCCAACGGAAACAATCATTTGTCAATACTTTCGCCAAAACACAATTTTATTCGCTAAATTTATGATTTTATCGCATGTGGCTAGGAATGCTTAGCGTGGGCCCTGTTTAAATAAGTTTAATCATTATTAAAAATTAATAAAAACGTAGCTATCTTTACTAGTATGGGGTAATCCCTGCCCATTGTGGTGTTCAGGGAAATGAGGCTGCTGATTTCCTGGCTAAGAAAGGAGCTTCTGTCCAGCAAACGACAATTTCTAGTCTCCCTTATCACCCCGTCAAGGCTATTGTTAGGAGGGTTTTTAGGACCTTCTTTTTCCCGGATCTTACGCATAAAAATAGTGGTAAACCATGGATTGAATAGATTCATAAAATTCCTGATTGGCCCAGAGAGAAATCTGTTGTAATTTTTCGTCTTGTTGTTGGGCATGATTGCCTCCGTAAACATCTTCATTCCATCAATGTCACATCGGACTCTCTATGTAATCTTTGTGGTCTTAAAGAGGAAACGAACTTATGTCATCTTCGCATCTGCCCTGCTCTTCCTAATATTTCAATTTGGGAGCGTTATTGGGTGGCGAGAGCCGCCCTAAGCTTATAGATTTACTGATATCACGTTGTTCTTGTTATGTTTTTGATTGTGATTTCAGGCAGAGCCTGACTAAGACACGGGGCAGTTACCCACGGCCCCACATCAGAGGGGGCCCCCAAATCGAATAGAAAGTTTATTTTACGTTTCCTTCTTTAATAAACTTTTTTAAACAAAATATCAGTACAGTGTAAAATTCGTCAGTTTTATGTTAGCTTCTTTATTAATCTATCGTATCAACACGAAAAATCTTCATTTCGTCAATTCATGACTTTCTAGAGCGGAATTCAGCTAAATTTTCGCAATGACAGTGGACAAATTTAGCCAATCAGAAGTCTGCATTTTTACATATCGCAGAATGCAATATATTTACAAAAATACAGGCTTCTGATTGGCTTAATTGAGCCATCATAATTTCAAAACTTTAACTGAATTCCACCCTAATGCCAGCAAGGATATAAATTTTTCGCAGATAGATGACAAAGTTAACAATCAGAAAACTTCATTCGGCATGATGGACATAGAATTGTCAGAAAATCTGTGAAATGGACAAAACAATATTTCGTCTGACCATTGGAGGGGGGAGAGGAGACTTAACAGCTATTTTAGGTTCTTCAATTTTCTTGTTATATACACTCTATAACAAAAAAATCGACGCAACAAGAAGTTGTCCGATTGAAACGAAAATTGGTGGATAGGAAGGCAATGTACAGAATAGTAAATGATTAAAATTTCAGAACAATTGAATAATTTATTGCAGAGTTGCAGTAACAAGTTCAATAAGGTGTTGACCCGCCTCTAGCCTGGATACAAGCTGCCACACGGCGGGGCATAGACCGATAAAGCTCCCGGATGGTCTCTTGCGGTATTTCCTGCCAAATTCGATCCAATTGTCGAACGAGGTCATCAACATTCCGTGCCAGATGCAATCGCCTTCCCATCATATCCCAGACATGCTCGATGGGAGAGAGATCTGGTGATCTGGCAGGCCAAGGAAGAGTTTGACAAGCTTGCAGACAGTTCATAGCAACACGTGCCGTATGTGGTCTGGCATTGTCCTGCTGAAAAACCAGCCCAGGGCGCTGCAAAAGGAACGGTAGCAAAACAGGTCTTAGGATGTCGTCGACGTACCGCTGTGCAGTAAGTGTACCTCTAATGACGACCAAAGGGGTCCGGCTGTCAAAGGAAATGGCACCCCAGACCATGATGCCTTGTTGAGGGCCGGCGTGGCGTGCAATAGCTAAGGCAGGATCCCCCCTCTGCCCTGTGCGTCTCCAAACGCGTCTTCGATGATCGTCAGGACACAGTTGGAAGCGGGATTCGTTGCTAAAGACTATACGTCCCCAGTCGGCATCATTCCAGCCTGATCTGTTCGAAATTTCAAAGCAATCGGATGATTGCTTCTTGGTGCGTCGATTTTTTTGTTATAGAGTGTATTTGTAATGAGGTAAAAATTTGAATACCTCCATAAAGTTCTGTTCTTCATAACTGAAGTAATGAAGTAGAGGGGGCCCCAATTAGTCTAAGTCGGGCCCTGATTTCAGGTGTCTTGTAACTTGCCATTGGAAATAAAAAATAAAATAAAAACTAGTATGGGGTAAAGGGGGGAAAAACCAGTAATAGTTATCTGTAAGAAGTATTTAAGATAAATAAAAAGCTGACTAACAGTTATAAAAAATTTTTAAAAAACTGAAGTTGAAAAGAGAAATGGAAAAAAAACTTATTTTTCTTCTTAATTCTTACAAGAAAACTTTAATACATAAAAAGATTCTTTTCCTTAAGAGAAAAGAAACGTTAAAAGAAATATAGTCTATCAGAAACACTTTTAAAAATACCACGCTATCATAAAAACAAAAGATTACATTCAAAAGCGAAATAGAAAAAATAAAAATCGATCTTAATTCCCGAAAGAAAATTTTAAAGCTGAACATCTAAATTTTTTAATTACTGCATTTTCAAGAAAAAAGAAAAAGTCTAATAAAAAATCTCTTGCGTCGAAATAAAAACGTCGATAAAAACAAGTTTTTTAAAAAGTAAAAAGCTAACTAGAAACCAAACCAAAAATATTTCTTAATTTTTAAATGAAAATTTTAGCGCAAAAAATCTCACTACAGTTTTTTTGCATAGCCGTATTTTTAGAAAAAAATGACGATAAAAGAATAACGTGCCTTAGAAACACTCTTTAAAAAAATCTGTGTCATATTAAAAACGCTGATAAAAAGAACAGTAAATTTAAAAAGCAAAAGATAAATAGAAAAAATATATTATTCTTAAAATATAAGTTTAACGTTGAAAACCACGGTTTTCTATGTTACCGGCTTATGTCTCACAGTACAGGAAAAAAGTTACAATAAAAGAATTAAGTCTATCCGAAACTCTCCGTCAAAATGCCGCGTTATAAAAAAAAAAATAGCCAAACCAAAAAGGAAAAAAAAGGTTATTTTTATTCTAAAAACAAAAACTGTTCAAGAAATGACTTGTTTGAATAAAATTAAAGAAAAAAGAATCAGCATCGTAAAACTTGTGGTTCAGTATAAATTAATCTAGTTTCAATTATTTGAATTTCACTTTTCCATTTGTCTTTCAAAACATAAATTTGTCAGCGAAGTCTTATACCTTAACAAATAAGTGCAAAAACTATTTCTAATATAGTAAAAAATATGATTTTAGATTATTTTTAATTAAAGCTATTTAAATTGTTAAAAAAAAAGGAAAAAAAAATTGAAAAATATTTTTTTTTAAAAAAGAAAGAAAAAAAAAATACTTTGCCGTATACCGAATAGTGGCCGAATATTCGTTACATACATATTTGAAACATGCATTTCAGATGATAAAGTTTCAAAAACTATGAATCTGTCAAAATAAAAGTATTTTGAGTGTAACTTATATTAACTGTTTTATTGAAAGAGGTATTTGAATGTAATTACCTTTCTTTTTTTAAATAAAAGAATAATTTAATAAACGTACGATGAAATAAAGAGCAATTGAAAATTGATTTTAAAAATTCATTTCACTTTAATTTGATTGAAAAACTGTTATAAGAAATTCGCGAAATTTTTTATAATTTTGAAAATACCTCTTTCAGCTATAAAAGTGCAAATGAATGCGTTGTATCGTTTACCATATGAGCGAATTTTAACCTAGAGATTTCAAAACGTTTTACCACATTAGCAAATTTTACTTTTATTTTAACGTTATACTGTAAGAACGAATTTTAATGAAATAAAAATTAAAGAAAAAGGGAGAATTCAACAGATGAAAGTGCAGATCAAACGATTAGTTTCAATTTTATATTCTTATAAATTTTTTGAATTTTAAATAGTGAAAGCCATGAAGGAAACAAATACACAACCTACTACCGTAGGGTGGGCCATGGCCTATCTGGTCAGTGTTTCCGCCTATGTGGTTCAACGAACTCGCAACCTTCTATGCCGCTGTACTAAACTAGTATCATTACCCAACCTTGACAAAAGCACGTCCCATTTTTTCTGCTCTATTTTTCAACTCCCATGGTAGGAATACCACGTCATTTTTAATCTATACAGACGACGTGGGCAGCTCCTGAACTGGTACCCCTCTTTCTCAGTCCTCACGCCACTACCATTAAGAGAACCTTCAGTCATGACGGAGCCAGGATCGAACTCACGACCCCCAGCTCTCCATCAGCGATGTGAGTGACGCTTTACCGACTGCGCCACCTGAGCGCAAACTACTAAACTTATTTAAATGTGCTTCTTGAACGGTCGAGCTAGAAGTAGGTAACTCAAATTTTTCTTTTAAAGAGCAGAGTAGCCTCGCCGTTGTGCCAAATACTCTATAGCGTGCGGGTAGCGGGTTCGAATCCTGCCATAACTTTTCATGCATCAGCGTGACATCTTTCTCTGACTTGATCTATTTGTGATTCAATCCAATAAGGTCATATAAGCAGTATTTTGTGATGAGCATAATGACTGAACGTGTGTGTGTAACGATAAATATTAATTATCTTTGAGTGTTTTATAATCAAAGCTGCCAAAAATTCTCCTCCTCTATCGTTCGTAAAAAAGTTTTCAAAATTAAACGGATTAAACTCAAGCATTGGAAAATTTTCGTATACACTTCTGGCATCATGTTTCTTAAATCACCCAAATACTGTCTTCAGAAGTTGTAAAATTAAAATTATTTTAAGATTATCTTGAATTAAGATTTCAGAAAAAGAATATTTCTCTGGTTTAAAAGTAAGTACCTTTCTTGTATATGTATAATATTTCTTCGAGTAATGAATATGTAAAAAAGAAGAATTCAGTAGTTTAGGAATGTGTTTAAAATTGATGATTGATCTCTAATTATTAATTTATGTATAAAAGTTCGGTAACTGGTTAAATCTTATTTTTAACATCATGTTTTTATTTTCAAATTTAAACTTGATTTTATTATAAAGATCTTTCGTGCTAGGAAACCAGATTATAAAGGGTAGCTATATTAATATATAAGTTATAAATATTATTGGATTTCCTTCTGTTGCCCTAATTTTGTTTTTTTTTCTTCAAAAAATAAATAAACAAATAAAATAAATATAAATAAATAAATGGAAAAAAAGACGAATTTTTTCTTTGTAAATTAAAGACAAAATGAAGCGTAAAATTTTGAAATCTTGTAATTTTTCATGTATTTTCAGTTTTTGATAGGTTGTAGCTTTTAAAATAATATCTACTTATGTCTGCACTCAGTCACCAAAACTTATTTACGGATCTCAGCAAAAATACCAACAATTCTATTAATTTCAGTCGATAGATTTGGAGACGTAAAAAATTCAAATAATTTTATTAAAAATATTTTTTTTTGTGTTTACGCTTGTAATAGTATTTTTCCAACATAAACAATTATTAATTAATTCATTAACCTGAATATTATGACTTCCAATAAAATTAATTCCAACTAGTATGACATCTATCATACGATCACAAAATGTAAATTCACGTCTGCCGGTTGAAAAAAGCGAATTTGATTGAACGAATTTTTCCAAATTTGATTAAAGCCCAGTTTCGAATAGTTGTCACTTCCCTAATTTTTTCTAAAATCACAGATTTTTTTCGTTAGCTCCTGGTATTTTTGATTAGTTGATTATTAGGCCGTCTAGGGGGAAATTTGTAGGTTGTATATGTTAATTTAACGTTGGCTAAATATTTTACCGTTTTTTTTGTTTGCTTTTTTGAAAAGTTAATACCTTGCCTACTTAAAGAGTCAAGTTCTAAAAATATTAAAACACGTTCTAAACAATTTTATTAAGAGGTTCCTACTTGGCAATATGGAAACGCAGAGCATTAACTGTGTATTTGGCTCTACTGTTACTTAGCCTTAATGTTGGTTGACGTTGAACAAGGATGAATCACCAAACCACACTCCAAAACACTACACATTATTCAGAAAAAAAAGAACAGTGTGGTGCTCTAGCGCAGTTGCTGATCCATTATGATTTTACGGAACCTGACTCATCGATCACAATATATTGCAGGTTACTGTATGTAACTAAAACAAAGAAAAACGAAAAACAGTCTAGATGGTCATCAGATAGTGTCCTGTCTTATTGCATGACATCGCAAAACCACACATAGCATAAAAGACTATGGCAAATCTACAGCAATCGAAATCGGAACTCTGGCAAATCTACAGCAATCGAAATCGGAACTCCATCTTCATCCACACACACTATGCCCATCCCCCACTGACGACCATTTCTTTCTAAATTTGGAATTTTTTTTTCATAAGAAAATTTAATTCCAAAAATGCTGTGGAGCAGGCTTTTCAGGAATTCATTGACTTTCCATTGTCTATTTAACACTTTCAGTTGTGTAATTAGGTATAAATACAAAACTGTACTTTTATTTACATAAATAACTTTTATAACTTTTGAATTATTCGTTCTGTTGACTTTGTTTTAGTGTCATTCGATTTACTGCAACAAAAAAAAAAATAAATAAATAAAAAATAAAAAAACTACGTTCGAAACAATATCTTATTTGCTTAGATCTTTTGCTTTTTGTAATCTACAAAGAATAATGGGAAAAATAATGAAACCACTCTCAATATGTTATTATAAAAATGCATATGGGATATAATTGGGAAACCCACTATAGTTCAAGTTTAAACAAATATTCGATAAGAACAGCAAGGGTGGACTGATCGAAAAGGCACGCTCCCCGTAGAACACCGAAGGCAAGCATCACTGGCTGCGGTCATTAAACAGGTGGGTGATCACTTTGATCAGCCAACGTAGGGACCGAGGGTGTGCGGTATCTGTCCTCGTTAAACTCTTCTACCATAAAGCGCTTGACTTCTCGTACAGGTTATTGGGCTATCGAAGCAGGGATCCCCTCTGCAGAGGATCAAAAGTGCGATGGCATATCTTCGTTTCATGCTCAGGGATGTTTCCCAGACCGTCGCCAATAGCCCATTGTGCAGTTCTAATGCGACGTAAATAAAGTACCTACCTACTTATGAACTGCAAGGAGGAAAAAAAACCCTAATAACTTTCGTTCTAAACATCGGATTTTCACAGATTAAGTCACTAAATGCCAATCTTAATGATTTAAAGTTGTAACCGCAAACTTGCTAATTAGTGCTAAGTATTGATCAAGTTATGAAATCGGACGTAAAAACGTACTTATTATCAATTGTTCAGCCGATTTAGATTTTGGACCCTTAAAATATTGGGAAAGGGATTAATCGGAATGTCTGGAGACTGGTTGAAAAAATGGAGCTTCTAATAGACATTTTCCTTTCTTCGTCATACCTCCTGAATCCTAAGTTCGTTTGTCCAAACATATTTTTTTACTATTCGTTTTAACACATTTTAGCCTAGTGCCCATTTAAAAGCACGAATTCCTTCTTCAGAGAAATAAAAAGTGATAGTACAGGGATGTCATTCATAAGATTGTGCAGAAACATGGTAGTTAGGTCTACCACATTTTACTTGGAATATAAATTTTTATATTTGGGTATTTAGTCAACTTTTTTGAAGCTAAATGTTAGGCAAATGAATGAAATATCCGCCTGACATAAACAAATATGTACTACCACTTTTTATCCTTAAGATGTTTTTCACATAAAGACCACTTTTTGTGTCTAGGCATTAACGGGTTGCACCATTTTGAACTGTGTAGCCTTAAATGACAAACTTTAACAAAAAATTGAACGAAATCGGTCAAATAGTTTCCGAATTATAAAATAATAAAAAAATATTTATATATATTTTTTAAAACTTTTATTTTTTAAGAGTTATTTGACCAATTTTGCTCAAATTTCGGATTTTGTTCTATAAAGTTGAAAAATTAAAAATGTAAAAATTTGTATACCATTCAATAAAATAAAATAAAATAAAATAAAATAAAAATTTTTTTTTCCACATTTTGCGAGCTTCAGAAATACATAACATACTACGTATTACAGGTTTTTTCTCAATTTTATTTCAAGTTTTATAAAAATTAATCAAAGTGAAGATGTAACACTTCAGATGCTATAACTAACGTAACAATCTTAGATACAATAAAACTTAGATTTAAGTCTTGTTTTTACTATTATGTTTGGAACAATTTAGAAAAAGTGCAAAATTGTATTATAAGTATTGAAATTACACTATGGATAAAATAAAGGTAATAATATGCGGCGTTGTTTTTTAAACCACAGGCATTAAAAGAAGAAAGATGAATCCTGAGTTTTCTAGTATGTCTTCCTCCACCATAGAATCCATAAGAAAAGCTGGTATAGGACGTCGTGGAGGTGTTAAAGTTCGTGGTGGAAGGTAGTTTAAACAATCTTGAAAATTTGGTATTTCACTCTACAATTTGTAAATAGAATTGACATCTCAAGATTATGCGCGATTTCCCTACTCTTCATATTTTCACTTTCTCTGTTGCCATGGTTTTGGCAAATCTCAGTAAAAAAAAATTTGACGTAGTCATGGTAACGGAGACTGGATGTGTAGGTGACCGGTGTGTAGAGAGTGAGGAAAGCACATAACTTTTAGACGCTTATTATATTTACAAAGAGTACTTTAAATATTATTTTACAACCGTCGTTGAACAGCCGACCCAATTTTGAGTTTACGACTACTAATGTCCAACTCCGTAGCTTGTAATTTTGAACCCAATCCAGAAGACAAGGGGACTCCTGGATAGAGTATTGGGAAAAATTTGCCTTCGTGGAGGACTTTTTAGTGGAGCTAACCCTCATTTGCGTTACATGGAAGGGAATATCACGAGAACCTCCCACGGTTAACCTGACTGCAAGGGGATTCTGACCCGTGATTCGTCTACCACTGAGGATATTTCACGTCAGCACTGTGGTCGGTGCAAGCCGGATTCGGAATTCGTATCGACTGGGATTCGAACTCGGTTTGCCTCACTGGAAGGCGAAAGCTCTATCCCCTGAGTTATCGCGGCTCTCTACTAAGAGTATCTTATTTTATAACCGTTGTTCAACAGCAGACCCAATCTTGGGTTTACGACTACTAATGTTCAACTCCGTAGTCTTGTAATTTTGACCTAATCCAGAAGACAAGGAAACTCCTGCATCAGTACCCCCAGAGGTATGACTTGTTATGGGAACATGGAGGACTTTGAGTCTCGACAGATCTAACGTGCATCAGTCACCATTTACTACACGGGGAGTCTTCGGCCGACTGGGATCGAACCCACGAACTCTTGGACATGGGCCCAGTGCTCTACCAACTAGGCTATCCCGGCCTTTCTACTAAGAGTATATCATAAATTGGAACGATATTTCAGCTTCTCAAAAGACTTCTTGCAAATATATCATTAGTTTTAATCATGTTTTGTATTAATATCGACGATTATTATTTCAGATTGTTTTCTCAAGTTATACTTTTCGTATGAGATGGTAAACTGTAATTTGAGCAAGATTTTCTAGCACAAAAGAGGCCTTCGCTAAACTAAGCAAGGCCCTAAATCTCTTAACCCTCTGACGCATAATTTTTATTAAACGCATTTTGTAATTTGTATTAATTTATTATAATGAAATGAAATGAATGAATAAGTGTAATAGAATTAAGGAATCAAATGAATGAATTGAGTAGAATGGAATTGAATGAGTTGAATGGAATAAATGGTATGAATGAATGGATAAAGGAAATAAATGAATGAATGAATAGCGTTTCAAGTAACAATAGAATGTATAAAATGGAATAAATTTTACTTTTCTAATAAAATTTCTGTTTCATTACGAGAAACAAAGATAATTACAAAGCATTTATGAGGGTTGGAGAGCGAAGCGAGCGAGGTGTGGGGTCTCCTAGCCATTGTAAAACATTAAATATTCCTGTTCGCTGTTGTTATGATACCTTAATTTAAAAATGATGCAATTATGTAAATGATTAATCATTAAATTGATGCATCATTTTCAAAAACAGTAACTGCTTTTAAAATAATGCATTATTTCCATCTGAAACTTATCACTGTTAACATGCATAAAATAATTTGTTCAGAATCGTTGAGATAATTACGGAAATGTTATTGTTTTGATTTGGATTCTAAAAGTACTTTACACAATACATTTATTATTGATATAAAATATTTCTAATCACATTTTCTAATTCTCTTTGAATTGAAAATCATAGTCGAGAATATAATTACCTTTTCAGTTAGTTATGTTGGTAGAAAAATCAATTATTCATTGCGCATGAAAAAAATTTCTACCAATTGTCTTCGCTTTTTCTTTTTCTAATTTAACCTGTTATAATGAATTGTTTTTGATCTATAAATAATGCATTATTCATATTATTATTTAACCATTGCATTGTCATCTGAATTTCTAAATTACACTTGTCTGTAATATAAATGGTTCAACATATAACATTCAAATTACACACATTATGTTTAATTATACCTCTAAAACTATCTTCTAGTATAAGAGGTTGGAACTGTCTAATACATTTTACTTTTATTGTATTTTCTTACATGAGTAATAAGTAATTACAATTTCGAAATCATTGATCAATTTTAACTTAATATTTTAGTTGCGGGAAGGTAAATTTTATTTTATGGAAGTTTAAAAGGAAAATTTGTAGCATTTAAAGCTATATAAAACAACTTTATCTACAATTGAATAAGCAATGATATGCGTGTGTGTACATTGAAAATTATTGCATATACTTTTTTTTAATACATATTTGTATCAGGGTAACTGGAAAATCCTGCATTTTGCAAATTGCCCAAGTCACTTTGCAATGTTTACAAGGATTCTTCATTAGGCTTAACAAATGATATCGATAGCTGATAAGAGCCGGGTTTTCCAATTAGCGTACGATCCAACACGTTTCCGTTATAATAATTAAAGTTTTTAAGAATTAGAAGATTTAAGCTTTTCAGAGTCTGATATCTTTATTATTATTTTGTTATCGTATTAATCAAACTTTATGTACTATAAGCGCATTTAATACATATTTCTTTAGTTTAATAGGAAAATTTAAGGAGCACAATTGGATATTAGGAGACTTCTTTTATGAAAATATGATAATTAAACTAAGAAAATACCAAGTTTTAAAGCAAAGCTTTTATGAACTGGAATGTACTGTTTTGAAAATTTTAAACTCATCCCCATTTCCCATTGAAGGAAAAAAATGGAGACAATACTAAAGTATTTCATTCTAGAATAGTTTTTCTACATCAAGTGATTCAGTTCAATGATTCGAATCAAGTGATTCCGATCCGTAATTTGTGTTAAGCGCTTTGGATCTTTGATTTGAAACAAGTGATTCAAATAACTTATTCAAATCATGGGATTCAATCAGTGATTTGAATCTGATTCAGGTAACTGATTCAAATCTGATTCAGGTAACTGATTCAAATCAGTGATTCAAATGAAATGAGTGAAGTCATTATTTGAATCATGTAGTTCTAATCACAGATCAGAATCATGCAATTCAGATCAGTGATTAATCACCAATTCAATTGAATTGATTCGGATCAGGGATTTAAATCCGAGATTCGAATCAAATGATTTCAAAAGCAATCTGAACCACTGATTAGAATCAAGTGATTCAAAATGCTTTTTGAATCAAGTGATTCTGACCACTTAATTTTGAATCATGTGATTCTGATTAGTGATTCGAGTCAAAGGATTCGAATCAGTGATTCAAATGATTTTAAACGCCTCTTTAACTGAACAGTGGTCTCATCTCAAACGGAAAAACAAACGATATCAGCGTTTTCAAACGCACTTTTTTCCCATTTGAGGAAGAAAAAAAATGGAGAAAAGACTAAAGCGTTCTAGGATAGTCTTTCTAAATCAAGTGATTTAATTTAAGAAGTAGTCGTCCACATTAACGAAACATAATTATTAAATTTTATATGTCCCGGAATAACATAAAAAGAAAAGTCTAAGACCATTTCTCATTGTTGACATTCTTGTTGGAAAGACAAATTATGTGATGGGATCCTTAATCAACAAATAAGAACCGAAAACTTTTGATTGTCGAGCTCATCAGCATAAAAATAGAGAGATTTCGCAGTTTTACGAATTATCTCGCGTGCTCTCGTACGTAAAGTTAGATGCGCATGCGCCAATCTACGCAATGCTTCAGATGCGCATACGCCAATGTCGGTGAAGTGCGCCTAATAAATATTAAAAAAGTAATGAAATAGTGAGCAAGCATGCGCAGTTGTTACATTCAAACTTACGTATGGGAGAGTGAGGGATGATACGTAAAACTGCAAAATCTCTCTATTAATGAAAATTATAATCTAACAGTATATACCTGTAAATTATTTGCTTATCTCTCATTTAACTGTATTTTTTTGTTGTTTTTTTTAACAAAAGTATTTAATATACATTGGCTTACGTTATCTTCAATTATTTTTTACTGTTATACAATTTATATTCAACTTAAGTTGACACACATCTTTCGTTACATTTTTATTAAAATGGATGGAAATAATGGTGACAGTCTAATTCGGTAGAATTTGTCTAGACAGTCTAATAATATACACTCATTACGCAACATTTATTGAATAACCATTTTACAATCATTAAACGGGAAATAAGTTATGCTTAGTTTTTGATAAATAATATTTATATGATATATTTTATATATAACTATCTACAGTCAACATACGAAATAAAAATTGTTACAAAAAGTTTTTTTTTCTCTAATTGTCAAGAAAATTAATAATAACTTAACGCACTATTGCTAAATAATCTCGTTGGTGGAAAAGATTTAACGAGTTTTTATAGTAACTAAAAATTAAATAATTTTTAAAAAAAAAAAGTCTTGTGAATAAAAGTTGCAATAGTAATTAAGCAAAATGATTAGATTTAAATTTTATTCTGATAGAATTTAAGACTAAATCTGTTTTAACAGAACAGAGCATTTTGGGATAATTTTAATAGAATAAGTTTTAATTTTGGTTTATTTAACTGTTTATCATGAGTAATCTAATATGATTCAGTTAGTTATGATAAATCAAGCAATCGTGGGCGCTGGTGAGCGGCCATGAGCGGGAAGGGTTTGCTGCGACAAAAAGCGTTAAACAATGACATTTGTATCCTAATGTGAATTAAGTTTTTAACAGTGCCGAAAAAAAACGAATGATAAGTAAATAAATAAATAAACGGACTAACCTGAATAACTTTTGAACTAATAATCGTATCATAACGTTCTAAAACTCATTTTTAATGGTTCGAGGAGGTAACCTCAAATATGCTAATTAATTAGTGTAGACGATATTTTAAGTTACGAAATTAGACAAAAAAACGTACTTTCTCTGAATAAATATTCCTGTTTTTCCCGACGAATTCGAATTTCTGACTTCCGAATTATAAGGAGTAGCAGCAATCTGCGAAATTTGGTCCCCATAGTTTGGTCGAAAGAGCTGTCCAAAATTTGGATCCCTTAATGTTAATTTTATTTTTTGCGTATTTCGTCATATCTCGAGAACCTTTAAATCGAATTGAAAATTTTTCACACAAAACTATAAAATTCGTTTGTCCGAAGATAATTCCATTTAAAAAATATAAGTTATAGTAAATATTTATTATCTTTATTGTTTTATTTAATAATGGTCGAAAATGTTTTAAATAGTAAGGCCTTCTTTAAAATTCGATTTCTCTGGAACTATTCGACCGATTCTGTTCAAATTTTGTATTTTGTCACGTAAATTTACATCCTTTAAATTTATGTAAAATATTTTATACTTTACAGTTTAAAGCTTTTTCGACCATTATTAAATAAAACAATTAAAAACAATAAATATTAACTAAAAGTTATATTTTGCATGGGATTATCTTTGGATGAACGAATTTTATAGTTGGATGCAAATTTCTTTAATTTGCTTAATAAGTTTTCGAGGTATTTCGAAATATGCAAAAAATAAAATTAACATTAAAGGGATCAAACTTTGGACCGCTCTCCTGACAAACCTATGGGGACCATATTACCCAGATTGAGACTATCCCATATATTTTGGGGTCAGAAATCCGAACCCGTCTACAAAAAAGGCATGATTATTCAGAAGAAGTACGTTTTTGTGTCCGATTTCATAACTTAAAATATAATCTGCACTAGTTAATTAGCATATTCGAGGTCACACCCTCAGACTTCTAAGATTAAGTCCTAGAACGTGAAAGTCCGATCTTCGGATCAAAAGTTATTCAGGGTGGTCCGTTTTTTATTTCGGCACTGTATATGTATCATTGATGCTTTTGAACTTAGAGGTGATTTATATCTGTTCCTAGTACACTTTTTACCATTAAATTATCTTAGTAGTGTTCCATACTTTTAGTATTCCAAAATATTTAAAATTGTTCTCTTCTAACATTTGAGTTGTTTGATGTATTTTATAGATTACCACCTGTTAAAATACATAATGTGCTGTCAAGAAAGAAAACGATTGCACCAAAAATTCCACAGAAACGAACGGAAGTGAAGAAAGAAAAAATGTAAGTGAAATTCGAACTTCTTCTACGAGCAGGTTTCTTATTTCATTAAAATTAAGTTTAAATGTGTAATTTTGATAATATCTAGTTTTAATAAATCACTCAAAGTTTTATTGCATTGTTGTCAAACTCATAACTTAGAAGTTATTACAAATTTTCAAATTAAGGAAAAAAATCTTTTTATACGTACCAAAATTAATTTTTGTTCAATTTTTAAGTTAAATTTCGAATTTCAAAAATATAATTTTTCCAGAACTCGAAAAAGCCAATTTATTCTAATTGATATTGACAAAGCTATGTGAAGTGCAATGCGTTGATAAATAGGAAAAGTATGATTAAAAAATTTAATGAAAATCAATAGCATAAACTTTTGTGACTGATTATTCAATGTTAATTTTTGTTTAATTGTATTCCAGATATTACAAAAATAAATCAAATAAAATAAGATTTATTTTTTTGTTTAAGAAAGCGGTATTTTCCTTAAGAAACCGATGCATATTTCTTTGTTCGGAAAACTGGTACTAAATGTACAGTCAGTAAAAAAAGAAAGGAAAGAAAAAAGAAAGAAAGAAAGAATATGAAAAGCGGATTACCCATATATCGTTTGAATAGTTGGTCGGATTTTTATTCTGTAAAGTGTTATGGCAATATCTCAAAGAACTCTCTTAAATTATGTATAACAATCAAGTGTAACCGTGGCGAAATATGCTTATTTTGACGCAAAAACGCCTTTTTTTTCGGAAGAAGCAAATAATTTTTTTTATTTCTTTGAGTTATTTAACGCACAAAAATAACTCATGAATTCAAATTTCATGAAGTTCTGACGACTACAAAGAAAAAATGGAATATCGAAGCTTTTTGGTATTGGTTGAAACAGATTTTAAGCGTCACGCAGTAATCGAGCTACCCTTTAAGTAATTCATAGCATAAACTTACAATTGCTTATAGTAGTGTTTCCCAAACTTATGACTTTTTTGTACCCTTTCTAAATTTTTCGTAACGCTGTGTACCACTAATAAAAAAGTGAACATATTTTTTACTATATAAAAATTGCAATAAAGTTTAAAATCACAACTGGCTGTTGATACCACTAATTATTAACTGTTAACTCTGCAAAAAAATGGCCAATAGAAAAATACGTAATCATAAATTTTCATGGCCAGCTTTATTTTAAAATAAAAATTTTTGAAATTTTCGTTTGTTGCAAGATATTTCGAATAAGAACGGGTACCCCGGCTAAACTGTTCCCGTACCCCTGGGGGTACGCGACGCGTACCACACTTTGGGAAACACTGGCGTATAGTAAAGTAAATGCGACCCAAATTAAAATAATAAATAATAAGTGATAAAACTTTTTTCATAGTTATTCATTCCGTAAACTTGTCAACTTACGCGGATAAGTAAAACTGATCCTAGATTAAGGAAATAAATGAAAAGTAGTAGCAAGATTTGAGTTATTCATTGCGTAAACCTATCAATCGGTACTAGGATGTAAATCTGACCCCAAATTAAATAGATAGTGGCAGTGACATTTTCTTTCCTCAAACGAAAAACTAGGAAAAGAAAGTATTTTCTTTTTATCTGACTATTTGGTCTTGCCGTATTAAATGTATATTATTCCTGGAATTTAGATGTTTTTTTTTTCTCCATTTAACTCGTACGCATTAAAAATGCACTATTAGAAAAGCTTTTAAAGAGAGAAATGAAACTTTAGACGTTATTAGATTAGGAATAGATACTATTTAGGTCTTGCATTCAAAAAATAAATGACTGAACTGATGCAATTTGGCGATGTAATCTCAAAATGGAGTAATATTTGGACTATTTGGTCTTGCCGTATTAAATGTATATTATTCCTGGAATTTAGATGGTTTTTTTTTCCATTTAACTCGTACGCATTAAAAATGCACAATTAGAAAAGCTTTTAAAGAGAGAAATGAAACTTTAGACGTTATTAGATTAGGAATAGATACTATTTAGGTCTTGCATTCAAAAAATAAATGACTGAACTGATGCAATTTGGCGATGTAATCTCAAAATGGAGTAATAAATACTAAATACAAATACATTCCATAGTTCATTTTTTAAATTAGTTTTTAAACACCTTTTCATTATATTACACATTCGTCTTTCTGCTGAAACCTTAAAAATTTTTGTGAACGAATTTTTGTAATTTCACTGATATATTAAAAGACATGAAGAGAAACATGACACATTAAAGTAACCAATTTTTGAACCTATATAAGCGGTTAAACAATAAAAGAAAGCTTTTCAAAATTTTGTCTGCTCCGTATTTTGGGAAGGAGAAAGCCGAATTCTATGAAAAAAGTATTTTTTAGAAAAAGAGCATTCTTTGGCAAAAAAAGCATGTTTCGACTCTGTTACAATTAACTGTTCTGCTTATTTCTAGAGTTTTCTGAGAGATATTACTAAAGCACTTTACAGAATGAAAATCCAACCAACAGTTTAAAAGTTATAAGAATGATCCGTTTTTTTCCATGACTGTATATTTTGAAACCAAACTTTTGACAGTATGAAAATAGTAAATTTCTAACATAATTAAGAAAATCATAACAAAACAAAAAAATGAANCTCGCACGCATTAAAAATGCACTATTAGAAAAGGCTTTTAAAGAGAGAAATTTCCAACTTGTTTTTTTCCAGCTGGTAAAAAGTGCAACTCCAGTGGGGCTAGTCCTCCCCATCTATTTGATTGCCTGGATGTCACCATGGAAGAGGTTCTTGAGAGACCTCTCCTTTTCCTCGATTTTCTGAAGACTCACGGCCTCATGGATCTGGTATAGCTCCGCTGCGCTATCCCACATGGGATTGGAAGCAACAAAGAGAGAAATGAAACTTTAGGCGTTATCAGACGAGGAATAGATACTATTTAGCTCAGACGAGGAATAGATACTATTTAGCTCTTGCATTCAAAAAATAAATGACTGATGTGCTGCAATTTGGCGATGTAATCTCAAAATGGAGTAATAAATACTAAATACAAATACATTCTATAGTTCATTTTTTTAAATTAGTTTTTAAACACCTTTTCTTTAAAATACGCATTTGTCTTTCTGCTGAAGGCTTAAAAATTTTTGCGAACGAATTTTTGTCATTTCACTAATCTATTAAAAGACATGAAGAGAAACATGACACATTAAAGTAACCAATTTTTGAACCTATATAAGCGGTTAAACAATAAACGAAAGCTTTTCAAAATTTTGTCTGCTCCGTATTTTGGGAAGGAGAAAGCCGAATTCTATGAAAAAAGTATTATTTTTTAGAAAAAGAGCATTGTTTGACAAAAAAGAGCATATTTCGCCACTTTTATGGTTAACTATTCTGCTTATTTTTAGAGTTTTCAGAGAGATATTACTAAAGCACTTTACAGAATGAAAATCCAACTAACAGTTTAAAAGTTATAGGATTGATCCGTTTTTTCCCGTGATTGTATATTTTGAAACCAAACTTTTGACAGCATGAAAATAGTGAATTTCTAACAACGAAAATCATGAAAAAAAAAAAAAAAAAAAACATTAATGNAACAAAAAAAAGAATTCAAAAGGATTTCTGAAATTATTTGCCATTTTACAATAAATTTATATAAATATATAAATAATTTTAAAACTATTATTTTTTTAATGCACTGGCTCGCTGTCTTCTTTTCATAAGTACGAGTCTGACAGTTAAGAGGCCACTAAATGATCATTTAGCGTTTATTTTGTTTCAGTTCCTTTTGAGTTTTGCAACCGAATTAGTTTATAACACTGTTGGACTTTACAATTAATACATGGGGATGAAATGAGTCATTTCCTTTTTGAACACTAGACGTTATATACAATCTCTTCCTACCTCAGATGCGATGAAAAAAGTGTGAAAAAAGCATTAAGGCAAACGTCACGAGAAAAAACGTCAGATGCGAAAAAAAACGTGTGAGAAACATCAAGGCAAACACCAAGAGAAGAAACGTTCAATGAGAAAGAACGTGAGAAAAACATCATGACAAACGTTATGAGAAAAACGTCCAATGAGAAAAAAAACGTTCAATTAGAAAAAATGTGAGAAAGACATCAAGGTAAACGTCATGAGAAAAAAAGCTCGATGAGAGGAAACCATGAAGGCAAATATAAAGAGAAAAAACGTTTATTAAGTAGAAAATGAAAGAAAAACATCAAAGTAAACGTTATGAGAAAAAACTCTCAATGAGAAAAAAAAATGCGTGAAATACATCAAGGCAAAAGTTTTGAGAAAAATGTCCAATGAAAAAAAAATGTGAGAAAGACATCAAGGCCAACGTCATGAGAAAAAACGTCCAATGAGAAAAACCAGAAAAACGTTCAATGAGGAAAAACGTGAGAAAGACATCAAGGCAAACGTCATGAGAAAAAACGCTCGATGAGAGGAAGCCATCAAGGCAAGCGTAATGAGAAAAGATGTTTATTAAGAAAGAAACGAAGTTAAAACATCAAAGTAAAAGTTATGAGAAAAAACGCTCAATGAGAAGAAAATGCGTGAAAGACATCAAGGCAAACGTCATGAGAAAAACGTTCGATGAGAAAAAATGCGCGGAAAACATAAAGCCAAACATCATGAGAAAAAACGTTCGATAATAAAAATTGCTCGAAAAACATGAAGCCAAACATTATGAGAAAAAACGTTCGATGAGAAAAAATGCGCGAAAAACATAAAGCCAAACATCATGAGAAAAAATGTTCGATGAGAAACGTTGCGTTTTTGACGAATGTGAAACAGTCGTTTGTGATTCCTGTTATACAGACTCTAAAAAATGGCGATATGGTGGAAACAAACCTTTTTTAACTATCGTTTTATCCGTTTGGTCAAGCAAACAATATTTTTCAATAATTTATTTGAAACAAGTCATACGTAATGTGTTCTGTGGAAATAAAAATAACTCTTATGTTTAAGAAAGGTTTTGGTAAAAAAATTCGTTTCTCACCCTGTATTCCTCGATCAAAGCTGCATGTAAACGGAATAATCCTTGTTCACGAGTTCGTCAACTGTAATGAACATAACTCCCCTGTTCGATTAAGTTTACCTCAATAAATTGAAGAGTTTGTATTCGTGACCTAATTTGTGTTCCTTTAGAACATGAGGGAGAGTGTTGATTGATTGTTTAGGAAGAAATCCACCGATCAATACGAAAGAATATTAAAGTGGATGAATATGACATAGTATCCATTAGAGTCACAAAGTTGAAAGAAGAAGCTAGTCGCATTGATGTGCCCATTACAGAGCAATTGCTTTTATTGATTGGAAAGAAAGCCACCTGATGTTTTGTAGTCTGTGTTTTGTAGTATTTCAAAAGCATAACATGTTTCATACATATTTTTTATATTTAATTTAGATAATGAAGTGATTAAATTAGAGTCAATTAAGTGTATGGTATCCAAGGCATTTATACAGCAATTAACGTAATTAATTCATCATAATGCTTTTGATTTTTTTTAAATATCTACTTTATAATTGTAATTTGTTTATTACTTTGCTGTAAATGCCATTGTTTTCATAAATGAAAAGTAACATTTGAAAATACTCACGATATTTGTGAGCATTGACATTTTTTTTAGTTACCTTTAAGCAAAAAGCATTAACAAGTTCTTCCAAGTGATTAAATGTATTTTTTTATATCCGTATTTTTATCGTGTCTGTATAATTGAAGAGCTTTGAATGAAGATTATATTAATTTGAAAATTCTCACATCTGCTTAATTACGTGTAAGTGTGGAACATAGATGTATTCTAGTTATTAAGTTATTAAGTGGATTCTGTAGGTCCGTATTTTTACTATGGTCGCACATTTGAAAAGCTTGAATCAAAGAACATGTTAAGTAACATTTTGAAAATACGCACATTTGTAATTCCTGGAAATATCTTTTAGTTGTCTGTAACTGTTATTAAACAGTTGCCTGTAACTGTGGAACATTCTACCAAGTTATTAAATGGATTCTGTATATCCGTATTTTTATTCAACTGTAAAATCAGTCTACGGGCTTGGAATGAAGAACATGTTAAGAAACACACATTTGAAGGAATATTTGAAGGAATATATAGCTTTCACATTTGAAGAAATATATAGTTTTCAGTTACTTGTAGGCGAAGAACTTTTACTTCTTCATCCAAACTATTAAATGGTTTCTGTATATGCGTATTTCTTTAAAGCCGAATAATTGAAGAGTTTATAATGAAAAGCATGTTGAGTAGTTATCTGGAAATACTCACATATGAGGGCATTGATAGCTTTTAGTTATCTCTGGGCGAAGAACTTTTATTTATTCATCCAAACAATAAATAGTTTATGTATATGAATATTTTTATTATGGCTATGCAATTGAAGAATGTAAACGTGTTACGGCGAAATTATAAAATACTCATATTTTAGGGCATTGAGAAGTTTTAGTTACCTGTAGGCAAAGAATTTTTATTTATTCATCCAAACTATTAAATGGTTTCTGTATATGCGTATTTTTATTATGGCTATGCAATTGAAGAGCTCAAAATGATAAACAATGGAAAATTTTTAAAATACTTACATTTGTGGACATTGGGAGTGTTTAGTTACGTGCAATTGTAGAAGATTAATTTATTCTTCAAAATTATTAAACAGATTCTACATATCTATTAATTTATTAAGGTCATACAATTGGGTATAATATGAAAAAAACACAACTACTTCGATTTAGTAGGAACAACATATGACGCAATGCTAAACGAATGGAATTTAGTTGTTGTTTATTTAGTTATTGTTATTAGTAGTTGTTGTTATTTGTTTTAGTTGTTGTTGTTTATTTAGTTGTATTTAGTTTCAATAACTTTTCTTTATAATGCAATAAAATCTGGCGAGCAGCTATTTAAACGATCGAACACTTCGTTTGTTTATTTGTGGCTTGAAGTTAGGCTCGCAGAAAATGCCGTTCATGGGTTAAATTTAGTAGGAACAACACAACCTGTGACGTAGGCTATATTATACCCAATTGAAGAGTTTAGAATGAAGGACATGATAAGTAATAATTTGGAAACACTCTGGTATTTGCGAACCTTTAGAATATCGTTTAATAATCTGTGAAAGTAAAACATTAATTTAATTTTATAAATTATTAAATGGAACTGTTTTCAACGAAAAAGATGTTTTAAAATATTCCCTTGTAACTAATATTCTAAGTTTCTAAAATTTTCTCAAATTCACTAAAATATCGTTTTACATATTCTTTTATAACGATCTTCAACTTTATCTGACTGATTTTATAATCGAAAAAAAAACACTTCATGAGTATGATTCCAACAAAATTATTAAAAAAAAACGTTAGAGAAGAATACGTCAAACGAAGCATTTATCGATTAAAAAATTGATCAAACGATTTGCATTCATTTTGTGACATGTTTTGAAAAAGACATTTATTTTATTGCTAGTGCATTCAATTTGGAATACAATGTATTTTATTTCATTACAGATATAATATCCAACGCATTTTAAGAGGCAATTTGTTATGACATTCAGTCTATCATTTCTAATATTTTATAAAATATTCATTTGTAACTAATATTCTAAGTTTCTAAAATTTTCTCAAATTCACTAAAATGTCGTTTTACATGTTCTTTTATAACGATCTTCAACTTTATCTGACTGATTTATAATCGAAAAAAAAACACTTAATGAGCATGATTCCAACAAAATTATTAAAAAAACGTTAGAGAAGAATATGCCAGACGAAGTATTTATCGATTAAAAAATTGATCAAATGATTTGCATTCATTTTGTGGCATGTTTTGAAAAAGACGACATATATTTTTTGCTAGTGCATTCAATTTGGAATACAATGAATTTTATTTCATTACAGATATTATATCCAACGCATTTTAAGAGGCAATTTGTTATGATATTCAGTCTATCATTTTTAATATTTTAAAAGTGTATTGATTTTATTTCATTTTTTTTTTTACAATTCCATTATAAGTATTATTGGAAAATATCGAAATGAAAAACATGTTTGTAGTAGAAGGAAAAACATGTTTGTATTGGAAAATATCGAAATGAAAAACTTGTTTGTTTGATTACATATTTGACAGTTCTTAATTTCCGAAGAAGCCTTTAGTATTAATTGTGTTTGGGTAATAATGGTAATATCAGAAGTAATTTTATCAAAGAAAGATGAGGAAATTGGCAACAATTGAGGTGGTATAAAAGAACTTATTTTTTTAATCTCTAGTTATGATTATCGACAAATCGAACGCAATTGGAAATGTCTGTGATACGCCTGCATTTCCCGTTCAATATACTGCAAGTGAATTGCTCAAATAATAATAAAAAAATGTTTTCTAGTTTGAATTATATCGTATGATTTAAATAATTTATTTAATAATGTATTTTACTAACTTTTTTAGTATAAAGTTTAACGCTTCATGCTTTGACTCTTTCAAGATGTAAAAATTAATCTCTGTCAGTATCTGATGCATCTTAAAATGTTACGGTATGGATTCTATGTAACAGTATTGGTAGTGTAGGGAGGACTTTATTTTTTAGGATTCTATAAATTTTCGGAAACAAAGAAGCGAAAAAAAGAAAATGGTTTAACATTTTGGGGATAGTTTTCTTCATATTTTATTGAAATATTACATTCTTCACATTGTCAAAAAATATTACTTTTTATGATATTAAAGCTTTTTGAATCCTATGCAGGGAGTTTTTCTCATTATATATTCATTCTATTTTGGTTTCATTAATAAGAAATCAAAATACATATTAAGCAGTGAATATAGGAAAAGTTAAGCGCAATGGTATCAATCGAAGTATTCCTGTACAATTAAATGAGAAATTCATAATTACCATAAACATTGTTTGACTCAGTTGGAGGATTATTTAACTTATTTCCAGGGGAAAAAAAGTTTTTCGGAGATTGGGGCTTTCTATTATGTTGTGATTGCAATGTAAACAAAATCAACCACAACATACAGTTAAACATATCCTCAGAAATAAATCTCTCACTTTTTTTTTCTTCACAGTAACCCTTGAGCTGCGTTTCATGAATTTTTTTAGATTCATTTTGTCACGAAATTACGTGATTTGTGACGAAACGTGAACTCCCAAATAAGAAACGAAAATGTTTAAGGAGTCTCATTGGAGTGCATTGTGGGAGATTGACAAGTAGTATGACAAAATATTTCTTTACATTTGACGAAGTTCATTTCTTTGAAGAAATGCTGATACTTATTTTGCCACTTTGACGAAATGTTAGCTCGCAGCATTTGCCAGTCTCATTAACATACAGTTAAAAGTCAATTTTATATGGAAATAAAGCTCTAAGAGTCAGAGTAATTTGGGTAATAAAACCACCTCACTTGGAATGTGGTCAAGGTAAGAAGCACGACTTCATGTAATCGTACGTTTTTGTTATAATTGTGCAACTATTTACGTATGCTATTTCAAAGAGTTTAAGCATATTCTGTTCAATTGATTTATTTCTAGTGACAAAGAGGCTTTTGATGAATTGCCATTTAGAGAGGATGCTAAGTATAGGGAGACACGAGATAGAGGGCGTGGTCGTGGAAGAGGAGCAAGAGTGTATATTCAAACTGAAGGAACTTTATTTGGAGATGGCACTGCTTGTAAAGCTAAATCTGGTCAGTAACAAAAAATTTAATTGCTATGTACCTTTTTCTCTTTAAAAAAAAAGTTTTAATTTAATGTTTATTTTTCAAAATGTTTCAAAAACAGTATTTAAATCCTTAAATGGAATTTTATTTGGAGATATCACTGCTTATAAAGCTACATCGGGTTAGTAACAGAAAAATTAATAGCTATGTACCTTTTTATCTTTAAAAAAAAGTTTTAATTTAAGGTTTATTTTTTTAAATAACCGTTAGTTGTGTCAATGCAACTATTTTAGTGGTAGGTCAACCGACCCTTATAATTCAAAGGCAGATAATGACAAATTAAAAACCGTAAGAAAATATTAAAAATTAAACATTAATTATTAAAATAGGCTAACAGGTCCTAATAAGTAATTGTTTAAAGAGGTCAGAACAAGCAGATAAAACATCCAAGAGTCGTCAATAAAAACAGTACGACTCAAGTATTAAAAATAGTAAAATCCACAGCAGCATGTCGATTAAAACCAAACCTGAAAACAAGACACAAACAGCACCAACACAAGGCGAAACTCCGTGTGAGGATCGAATGCTACAATGATTTCGAAAATCCAAAGGTTGTGAGATAAAAATAGTAAAATACATAAGGCAGTAGGGGAGAGGGGGCACATGTGAACAAATTTTTTTATTTCTTCATTTTTTAAAAAATATCATAAATTTTTCACAGTAAAGAAGTCCATATGTTTAAATAGACTTTTCTTTGTCTTATGGAATTTTTTGAGATTTTTCAAAAAAATATTTCTTTACTTTATGATATTTTAGAAAAATGACTTCAATTGTTCACATGTGCCCCCAATAGGGGCACATGTGAACATGTCTGGGGCACATATGAACAAGATAAAAAACGCAAAGCAATCATCATATTTCAAAGAAAAAAATCTTTAATATAAGAGATATAGATAAGCATTATACTGAAGGGCTTGTAGCTTACTATGTGAATTTAAATTGTATAACAGTACTGTGAATAGGAAAATAATTTTTCAGCTGCACAATAATTTTTCCGCAGTTGGGTTATTCGCAACTTCATGTTCCTCAGGAGTTGTAATGGGCCTTTTTCTTTTTTCTCTGATACTCTTTCTTCCTTTTTTTTTTTCATTTTTTCTATCTTTTCATTTGTAGCTTTAGCAATTCTGTCTTTCTCAGGTGTATCAGTTAATATTCGTGATGTGCGATCAACCATTTAATAAAAAATATAAAAAAATTTAAGAAAAAATTAATAAATTAATTATGGAAAATCAAATAATAATAATTTTAGATGCATACATATTTTTTAAGCTTATAATATAATGAGGATGATAATCTTAATACTATGTAGGGGCACATGTGAACTGTTCACATCTGCCCCAGATGTTTTGTTCTCAAGTGCCCCATCATCCTTCTTAAACCTAACTTGAAAAATAAAGAATTTTTAATTGGGTAAAAAAAAAATAATTGTCATAAACTTACCTGAATGTTCATATAATGGTCTGCAATAGTTAATTTTAGTTTATTAGTTGATTTATACTATGCTTTCACTTGAAGAAGCGAGTGATTATAATATATACAACACCAGCTGATATAAGGAAATTGTCAGAATAGAACAACAAAATGTCTCATTGTTCTGAAAGTTTTGCAGAGAGGTAGGACTAGTACTGCCATCAATTGAAAATTTTTCAAGGTTTTTTATTTCAAATAATATTGGTAAAACATACCATGTTCACATGCGCCCCCTGTTCACATGTGCCCCCTTCTCCCCTACATAAAATACAAAACATTAAATACAAAAGGTCAAATATGAAAATATCAAAAGATATAAAAGTTAGTTTAAAGTAAAACAATGATAACATCATCTAGTAAGTAGAAAGTACTTTTATATGAATTTATGTGAAATATTGATGTTATTTAAGAGGGAGGGAACGTTTTTTCGATGTACTTAATTTCAGAGAAAATAAAAGAGCATTAAACAATAAAAAAAATTGCAAGTATTTGATAATTTAGCATTTCTTTAATCAAATATTAGCCGTCGAAAAAGGCATAAGAAGTTGAAGGTGAAATTAAAAAATTCGAATAAAATGTTTTGGAATAAGAAACTGGCTCATGTAAGCACGAATAAATATTTCTTAATTATTCCTTTGTATTTAATGTAAGCGAATTTCTTATTCAAAACCCTTTTGATCGTAGGTGTAAATGAAGTTCTTCAGCAAATTTCGTCTCTTTAAAGTAGTGAAGTAGTTACTAAATTCCAAAGTAGTTTGTAGTCACTACATTTAAAAATTAGTTGCAGTTAACTACATTTGTAACAAATTAGTTGTTGTAAACTACAAAAATATTTTAATTTTTCCGACCACTATCTATTCTATTGCGTATTTCCACTTGAAGGAAAATGATGGTTAAACTTTATTTTAAGTAGAATTAATGCACCTGTTGTACTTAAGAAGGGAGTACTTGGTTTTACTGTAAATTGTAAACTATATCTTATGAGTGATATTCATTAAATTTTATCCTACATATTTTTAGTACGCTTTACTTTTATGCAAATAAGTTTGATTAACTTCAATTGATGCAAGTTGTGCATTTTCTTATATCATTAGACTTAACTCTTTAATTCTGTCAAACTTTTAATATTCTAAAAATAATAATCATCTATCTATGGATTTTATTGAAAAACTAATCATTCTGGCAATGAATTATTGTAGCAATAATCATAATAATATTTAAATTTACTAGTACACAAAAAGTTGCTCTTGAGTTTAGGGATCGCTACTGAGTACTTAAGTAACAAAGAAGTAATTGTAAGATTGTTTCAATTATATTTTTCCTTCTTTTGGTATTAGAAAGAAACTATCCGAGCTATGAAAGAGCAAGTGTGTCTAGATCCAAAGTTTCTATAAAAAGAGAAGGAAATGTGAAGTCAGAAGAAATTGACATTCTTTTGGAATCTTTTAATTATTCTGAAGTAAGTATTTTTAAAATCATTGCTTTTGTTAAAGTTATGTTGTTGTAGACCATTAAGGCACTGGGAATGCCATTGTTCGTAATTTACAGGGGCGCCATCTATGGTCAAGAATTCGACATCTGTCACACCCATACGTCACAGCCTTTTATAGGATGGACTCATTCATACATTCATTCACAAATCGTAATTTTGACCTGAACCAGAGAACGATCAATCTTCAAACCAGTATCCCCAGAGGTATAATTTGTTATGAGAACATGGGTGACTTTTTGACCCGGCAGATTTAACGTGCGCAAGTCACAATGTTCGGCTGGCTGGTTTCGAACTCCCGTTTTCCTGAACGCAAGTCCGGCACTTTACCAACCAGGCTATCGTCGACTTTTTCCAATTTGTATGGTTTTGAAGCGATAGAAGTTTTTAATCAGGTAATGCTATTAATACTGTTGGAAATGTTTTGAAACAAAAAAATAATAAAACAGGTATTATTGAAAAATATATTTTTTAAAATAGATTGTAAAGGGGAAAAAATTCTATTCGCCTAACACCTAAAACGAAAGACGAGATGCTCATCACTTGCGAAAGACGAGGGAAATTTTTGATATTGACAATAGTCTATCGCTAAAGTGACGCGCTCTACGGTTTTGGTCTGACAAAAATAGAATTATGATTTCTTTTTCCATCCACTTGAAAAACGTAACGTTTGAATTTTTTTTTTGATTTTAAACATTTAAATACTTCTTTGTTAGTTTTATGTCTGCTAGTTAATGCCAGGAACTGATTGAAATTTCGAGTAGCTTTTAATGGAGGTCAATGATAAATGTTGTTGCTGTTGTCGTAGGCCATTAAATCAAGGGGTGCGGTTGCTCTAGTTTTCCAGTGGCTCCATCTGTAGCCGAGAATTCAACTTCAACTACACCCATACGTCACACCCGTTTACAGGACGGGCCCATTCATACATCCATTCTCCACAGATCGTAATAATTAATAAATGCTACTTGTAACATTTAGAAAACGATTGCAACTTGCTTTGGAACATAGCTCTAGTTTAAATTTAATTTAAGCATGTTATTTAGTCGGGAAGCCAAAACTTCGACGATAAAATCCATCTGGTGACATAAATTCTGCTTATAGTGGTCAGGAAACGATTGAAATTTCAATTCAGAGCAGAGATCCAGTTCATTTTTGAACACAACACTCTAGGCAATCAGAAAGGGTCAAAATGCCAATAAATAACGAATTCGCTTATAGAAATGAGCAGATGGTTAAAACTCTCATTGTCATCAGGCAGTAGACAATTGCGCTCATTACTAGAAGGAAAAAGGCAGGAATTTTGATTGCTAGATGCCGCGTTCACAGACGCAAATTAATAGAAACGTAGCAATAAATATCTGGATCCTGGAAGCATTTTAAAAAGCCAATGTTTGAAGCAATTAATGTTTAATTATTAATAGAATTTGTTATTATAAATGTTGAATAGTTTTTTTTTATAATTTAAGGTTCATAAAATTTAAATACAAAAATGAAAATTGTTGAAATCATATGTTTACATTAAGGCTACTTCTTTTTACGTCTGCTAGCAGAAAAATGAGTCTGTACCTAAATTATATCAAAATATTTGTCGACTGGGCTGTATGATGGTCGAGAAGTTAGCCTAGTACCAGGAAGCTTTCGGGTTCGAATCCCGCTTCGGGCATGGACATGATTTCTCACTCTGCTCTATGTGTCTTTCTTGAGTCGTTGGGGTGACGTCGATCAGTCTATATGGTGCTCACAAAAAAGAGATCAGCAATATTACACGTTACGTATCACGAGGCTATATGTTGCCAAAATTGGTGGGCACTGGAAAAAAATTAAAGTGATAATTATAAGTGATAATTTGAATAGAAATATTATTCATTGGAAATATAAAAGTTTACCCAATGATATTCAGTAGTTATTTTATCATCTTGCTCACTTTACAACGGACAATTATGACACCAATTTACTTCAGAAAGTTTGCGCACTTTTGTTTTGCATTTTATTTTCTTATAGCACACAGTGGCCAGCATCCAAGGTTTCGTGGCCAAAATTTGTATTTCGATAAAATTTGTTTCAAAATTTGGGGTTTTCTATTTAGGGGTTTTTATGTGCAGGTAAATTGAATTCATAGTTGAAATTTTGAAATACACTAAAAATACCCCCNCCCCCCCCCCCCCAAAAAAAAAAAATGGCGACTGAAATATGGACAGAAAATATAAAAATAATAATATAGTACGTTCAAAGTTAAATATAGTAATGAAAATATAATAATTTTCGTAATTTTATATTAAAAATGAAAAGCAAATAATATTTCCAAAGTAATATTACAAAATAACGCGAAAACATGAAAAAAAGCATAATTTTTGTTTTTCGGTATATTTAGTCCACCTTTGCAATATGGGCAAAATGGNACATAATTTTTGTTTTTCTGTATATTTAGTCCATTTTTGCAATGCGGGCAAAATGAATCAGGTTTTTTCGAAAGAATAAACATCAAAGAAGACAACAAAAAAAAGTTAAGCTAATTACCTCGTGGAACTTTTTGGAACTAAGTTTCGTAAGTCATTCAAACATTGTAAAATATCAACTGATAAGATAAAAACTATAAGTTTGTCAAGAGTATTAACTTATCCAACAAATTGAAAAATTGCACTATAATTTCAGACTAATGACTCTGATAAAAATGTAACAGTAAGGAGAAATTCCTATACATATATTTCTGAAATAAAAATTAGAAAGTTACATTAAAAAAAAATCTTTGAACATATTTTTCATTACATTGTACTTTTGTCGGTCCAAATGTTTGGAATGATTATGAATACTTACTTTGGGCTATACTAAAACTGCCTACACATATTTTAGTTGAAAATTTAATTTTTGACTTTTGGCCAAAGATCATGGTCTTCTGGCCCACAGTGCAGCGGACGATTAGATTGCGCATTGATAATGGCGGATTTGTTGCAAAGTTTCCCTTATGACTTATGACTGGAATATTTTTCAAAATTAGAACAGTTAATTTCCAAATAAATCCTTATTACTCTCTTCTCATATACGCAGAATCTTACCAATAAATAAAAAATCGGTATATATCCGTAAAAATAAATGAAAAAAAAGAAACAGAATTGATAAACAATATTATTTTTTAAAGTATGCTTTTATTCATACAGCTGCGAATCATTTTTACATTATTCACTATTAAATATTTTCTTTGGGGTTTTTTAGGGTGAAAGCGATGAAGAAAATGACTTAAAGCCCGTACGATATCCGTACGTTAAAGAAAAACAAGAAATCAAACAAGGAATAAAGCAAGAAATCAAACAGGAAATCAAGCAAGAAATAAAAAAGGAAAATATTGATGAAGTTGATGGTGACAAAAGCAATTTTAGCATTGAAGATGTTAAAAAGTTCATAAAAGGTCAGAATGGCTAATTTACAATTAGATAAATACTCAAATTAAACTTCAGATCACTGACGCAATTTTTAAAAATTTTCTCAGTTTATGCTAGTTTGGTCATTGCTTTCTAAAGAATTCATATTTCAGATCCTATTGCAAATATTTCAGAGTTGTGTTCACTACCAACTGCGCACAATACCACAATAACGTCGGACATCTATCGGATGAACTTAGTGGCCAAAGAGTTGTGCCCAAGTTCCTCGATTCTATATATAATTCTATTATATCGATTCTGGACATAAAAGACCATTCTGCTTTTTCATATCAAGAATATTTATCAAAAATGTATTTGTAAGAATTAATAATCATCATACCAGGATCACAAGAGATTATTAAAAGGAGAAGAAAAATCTTGATTTAAAGAAAAGAATGAATCGTAGAGTTAAAGTTTAATTCATCCAGCATCTATAAAAACGAACAACGTTTAGTACTTTTTTTTTCTTCTTCAGAAACCATTGAATCGGCGTCTAAAAGCTATTTTCACGTTAAAATTCTTTTTTGCAAAATATTCAAATAACATAATTTTTTCAAAATTTCCAAAAATTGACTTCTGAAAATGAAATTAAAAATATTTGTTGGTAAAAAAAAGTGGTTTTGAAAGAATACGAAAACCGTCCGATAATTTTTTTTTTTTTTATATGTCGAAAAAATATATCTTTAATAGAAATAATGAATCATTTTAAAGCGATTAAACTTCTGAGAAAAGGTTTACAAACGAAGGAAGAGAATATTTAAACTTTTGACCAAATAATTAAATTTTCATTTTCACGAAATTAATGCTTAGCTCTCTTGCCTTAACTATTTTCAGGCCATATTTTCTGAACTACGGCTAACTTTTTTATTTCGGGGGTCTGTTGAAAAAAAATGTGTTTATTCAGATCAAGTACGTCTTAATTTTTTATTTCCTTGTTTTAAATATCATCTCTGCACAAAAATAAATAGGATATTTAGGGTTAGTCCTTAGAATATTTAAAACTGTATTCTAGTACGTTTAAATCCAATCATTAGATCAAAAGTTATTAAGGTGTTCTCTTTTTCTTATTTTGCTCACTGAACAGTATGCAAAACGGACCACCCTGGAATAACTTTAAATCTAATGATCGGATCTTTTTTTTCTAGGACTCAATTTTAATGACTCGAGGAGGGGACCTCAAATATGCTAATTAATAAGTGCAAGCGATATTAAGTTACGAAATCAGACACAAAAAAGTGTTTTCTCAAAATGAACATATCTTTTCTTTTTCTTTTTTTTTGTGACGGATTTGGATTTCTGATCCCCAAAATATAGGGGGCAGCAGCAATGTGGGAAATATGGTCCCAATAGTTTGGTCAGGAGAGCTATCCAAAATTTGGTCCCCTTAAAGTTAATTTTATTTTTTTAGCGTATTTCACTATATCTCGCGAACTTTTTTTAGCAAATGGAAAAATCTTTGCACACAATTATTAAATTTGTTTATCCAAAGATAAACCCATGCAAAAAAAAAGAAGAAAAAAATTTTAAATATTAATTATTTTTCTTTATTTAAATTAGTAATTGACAAGAACTTTTGAAAAGAATTAAAAAAAATTTGCACACAATTATAAAATTTATTTACCCAAAGATATTTCCATGCAACAAATAACTTTCAGTAAATATTTATTGTTTTTTGCGGTTAAAACATTTTGAATTGTAAGATATAAAATTTTTTGAATCATTTTATAGAATATAATTTTACATGGCATGTTAATTATGATGTTAATTTTTTAATTATGACTACCCTCTCTCTCTGCTGCGAATCATTTTTACATTATTCACTATTAAATATTTTCTTTGGGGGTTTTTANATATATATTTATTTATTTATTTGGGGGGGTCAGAAATCCGAATCTGTCAAAGAAAGTTTTGTTTATTCAGCGGAAGTACGTTTTTGTGTCTGATTTCGTAGCTTAAAATATCGTCTGTTCTGATTAATTAGCATATTTGAGGTCATCCTCTCGGCCATTAAGAATGAGTTCTATAACGTGAGGATCCGTTCATTAGATCAAAAATTATTCTGGGTGTTCCTTTTCGTTTTTTTAAGCGCATTGTACATCAAAGTAAGCCATTTTTGCACGAGCAGAACATCCCTTCTAAACTTAGTTTTAGTTAGGTTCGCTGTTATTTTATATTTTCTTTTCTTTGATTAATTCATGTTCGGGATCAAACTATGTAGAGTATAACTGGAATAAAAAACTCATAACTTATGAAGCAAATCGAATCTTCTTATTGCCTGGTTGTTATTTCTTTATAAACGAGTAAACAAAAATTACTTGAACAAATCTGGTTTAACATTATTGTACCATAATAACGTTTTCTTTTTTTTAATTTTCTGAGAACTGTGAGTTTTGAACATACGAAAAAATTACGATTATGATTATCACGGAAATTTTTATAACAATACATTATTTTTATATATATTTCTCAAGGTTAGTTTCTATTTTATTATCTAAACGTCCCTTCAAAAATATAAAATTTTTAAAATTACAATTTTTGACAAAAATACTATTTTAATAGTATCAAATACAATTAATGAGTCTGTTCACACGTTTTTGCAATATACAATCCCATTATTAGTTTGAAAGTTAAATGCAAATCATGTCGTCTCATAAACACATACATGGATACGTAAGTCATATGACTTGAGTATAGAGTATTTCTGTTTTTGTTGGGGTGTGCTGAAAAAAAGATCATTTCGAGAACATTACAAAATTTGGGATATAAGAACAAAACATGAAAAATTCTTAATATAACATATAAGATGATCCAATAACAATTTATGCAACTGTTGATTATGATATCAGAATTTATTTTCATTGTAATAAATCATTTTTTATAATTTAATTTTCACTAATACTCTTAGTTGAACCAGTTGATGATTATGAAAATGAAATCAAAGCAAAACCTTTGGTCTGCAAATTCTTCACTCCCATTGAAGCTGTGACTTTCTCTACAGAAAATGAGCTTGTTACTGATTTAAAGAACTTAAAAAGTAAGGAAAATATTTCGCTCTTACTAAAAAAAAAATTGCTTATTCGCGTAATTTTTTGCAATATTATCAATTTAAGGATTTCCTTTTTCTCATGACTTAATTTATTTCCACTCTTTATAGATATTTTTTAAGTAAGAATTAATATTTTAAGGTGACAGAGGAATTATGTTGCTTCTGCAGTTTCCAAGTTGTCTTCCTCTTGATAAGCAATGGGATAACTTAAATACACCTGAAGATAAAAAACAAGCAACTTCTGCAACGAAAGAGAGCGTTAAAGGCGAGAATCAAAATGAAGTAAGCCTATTACATTTTATCGAAAGATTGACTTAAGTTGATGTTGTTGCAATGACAAGTGACAAGACATCAACGACATTTTTCAAATTAATTTTCTTTCTCAATTACAAGCAACACTTTAACATGCAACTGCGGAAATAGTTTTATTTTTTATTATGGGATGGCGCCACATGTCTTTTTAATGTATCCTAAATATATGTTAAAATGATCGCAACAATTAAAGACTGTAGACCCATAAGAGCAGATTTAAAAAGATATCACAAAACAAATTTGAAAAAAGAAGAAGAAGAAAAAGATTAAGTTGCCAACGAAAATCAGAAAATAAAATAAAGGTGAAAAAAAAAATGCGTTAGTGTTCATCAGACCTCTATACTGCTTGGAAATGCAGCCTAACTTGAATTACCTCTTTCAACTACTGTTGTTTCCTTCAGTTACCGTGGTTTTTCTTTATTCATTTTGCAAATTTTAATCTAGTGTTATATATTTCTATTTGAATTTGAAACTTTTTAAATTTTTAGGATATTCAAATCGGATTTATTTCATTAATTTGCCAAATACGATTCACTACAAAATTATGAAGAAAAAAATTTTTTCCCCACACATGCGCTGTATAAAAGAATTAAACTACTTATATATTGCAAAGTTTTCACGGAATATTTTTTCAAATTTTAAAGCAGATTTATTCTAAATTGCTCTAAAAGTTTTGTTTAAATTTATTGAGTAATTGTAAAATTATAGCAAAAAAGCGCAACACACACGAAAAAAAAAAGTTTTTTTACAAAAATACTTATATTGCCATAAATATTTAAATTAAGCTTACGAAATTTTGCGCAATCATTGCTTATAATAACCAAAATAATTGTTACTTTTTTGGCATAGGATGTTCAAAAACACTGTTTTTCTTTTGTAACTCATTGTCAGTCCCTCAAACCTCTAAAAGCTTTAAATTTTATTGACAAGTATGAGAAATCGCATGATCTGAACACTTCTGAAGTTAGAAAATGATTCTGTAAGCATTTTTTGAGAAATATAAGAAAATGTATTAGCATAGAAGTATTTCCATTATTTTGTCCACCCCCTCCACAACGACATAGTTAATAAAGTTAAAATAATTCAATTTCTCAAATTTTTTACTATATCTTGTTCTTTTCGGTAGATATATATTGTTCATATTTATATATATATATATAATATACATCAAAATAAAAGATTAACTGTATTTAGAATAATTTGGCTAGATGCTATTGCTTGAGGCCAACTCATGATGGTCAAAATTTAACACATTCATGCGCTTTTCTTCTTTATTTATTCTATAGAGAGACGGTAAAATCCTCTTTTTATAGAATATATAAAGCTTCATAATATTAATGCAATTTTAGTAGGTATCAAGCATACTAATATGACATATTGCACTTATTTGATACTTATTCAATTACTATAATTCCGTAAGTGTCTATTACGAAAATTAATTACACAATTTTAATTAATTACATTTTTTTCATTTCGGTTAGTATTTATTACCAAAAATAATTTAGTATTGTTGGCGTTGTAATAATTTGGCGATATTTTACGCTTTTCTTAAATCAATTAGTAGGGGAGAGTGGGGTCAATTGTAACATTTTTTACTTAACTATTTTTAACTAACAAAAAATCCAATATATTATTAGTATTAATTGACAGACGAGTAAAGTANTAATATGACATATTGCACTTATTTGATACTTATTCAATTACTATAATTCCGTAAGTGTCTATTACGAAAATTAATTACACATCAATGGCGTCAATAATAAAATGACGTTTTTTTTTACATTTCTCCTAAACTCACTAGTGGCATTTCTGTATTAATTTTGCTTTATTGCACTTTGAGTACATAGCTTATTTTTTTCGTTTCGGTTAGTATTTATTACCAAAAATAATTTAGTATTGTTGGCGTTGTAATAATTTGGCGATTTTTTACGCTTTTCCTAAATGAATTAGTACTATTTCTCCAATAACATTACTTTTAACATACCTTATTTTTAATTTCATTTAGTACTCTAAGTACTAAATTAAGTTTCATTTAGTAGTAAGTTTCATTTAGTAGTTTTCATTTTATATAGAACTCTGCATTTTTCCTCCATTTCAATTAGTCATCATTACCAAAATTAATTTATCATCATTGACATCTATAATCATTTGATCTTTTGCGTTTCGAATTCGTACCATTTCTCCAGTAGTTTTTCTTTTGAGAACACATTTTATTTTTCATTTCAATTTGCATGTATTACCAAAATTAATTAAGCCTTGATGGAATCAATAATAGAATAGCTAAATTTCACTGTTTTCCTAAAAGAATAAGTACCTTTTCTTCATTAATTTTGCTTTTGAGAACATATCTTTTTTTAATTAAATTATTCCCTAATAATAATAAATTTTCAAGCATCATTTCCGTCAGCAGTAAGGCGATTTTTTGCGTTTCTCCTATAAGAATTAGTATTACTTCTCACTTAATTTTAACATGGCTTTTTTTTAAAAATTTCAATTAGTAATTATTACCAAAATTAAGCATCAATAGTGTCAATATAATATGAGCATTTTTTACTTTTTTCCTAAACGACGTAGTACCATTTCTCTATTAATTTGACTTCATAATACACAGCATTTTACCCCCCTCATATTAGTAATTATTATCAAAATTAATTTATCACCATTGACATCTATAATCACCTTATCTTTTACGTTTCTTTTAAACGAATTAGTACCATTTCACCATTAGCTTTTTCTTATTAGTACACAGCTTATTTTTCATTTCAATTTGTATGTATTACCAAAATTAATTAAGACTCGTTGGAGTCAATAATAGAATGACTATTTTTTTTAAGTGAGAAATATAAAGTGAAGGAATTAAAATCTTTGTGAAAGAATCTTCGTGAAAGAAAATTATTTCCCAGAAATATTTAGATTTTTTGGTATGTAATCAGGTTAAACGTCAGCTAAATTTTGGGCACCAATCAAATTTTTCAGGCATTGTTGGTGATTGGAATTTGTGCAACCCTGATCAAAACTATATTTCATGCACGTTATATATTTTTTTTATTAAGCATCGCTGATTGTGAGAATTTTTAATTGAAAAAAAATTTTAAGATTTTCATCTAAGTTTAAGACAAAAATTTTTTTTATGAAAGCTTAAGTTTAGGTGATTAAATGCTGGACTATAACGAGTTTTAATTTTCTTTCAGGAAATTAGAATTAAATCTAGTGTTCGTGATATACCCGAAGGCTTTATTGGTAAACTGCAGTTTCTGAAATCTGGAAAAATGCGACTAGTTATGGGATCCATTCATTTATATTTAGAAAATGGAAGTGAAAGACAAGTCACTGCAAATGCTGTTACAATATCTACGAAAGGAAAAGAAGGTGATATTACTGTTTTAGGAAAAATAGAACGGAAAATGTTACTTCGACCGCACTTTAATGGAATCACAGATTAAATAGTTCGAATAACTGAAATTACGGTCTCGCCTTATTTTGAATAATAAAAAATCAAATCATGAAACGACCCAAATTTGATGCGTCGAATTTTAAGTTTTAAAGAATAGAAACTAATAAGACTGCCCCTTCCGTTTTAACTTAATAAACAAAATGATATCAAATAACTATTTGTTTATAAGGTATTTTAACTTTCTTCTAATTCTAAATATGTGTTATAAACATGTATGTGTGCTGTTGTGAAACAATTTAATTTCGCATTTTGTAATTTTTATATATCGTCTAGGAGAGTGAAATATTCCAGTGTATATCATTTAAAATTTGTCATTTAGATGTTAAGAAATACAGCGATGCCATTTGAATTTAGTGTGTGTCATCTAGACTTAGCAGTAGTTGTCTTCTTTCAGGATAGAATGTATTCGCACATCCCATGCAGCAGCTGTGCCCGAAATGACGAACAATTTGAAATATGGAAGAAATACGGTAGTAGATAAAAAATATGATAGGGTACGTTCTGCTCAAAGAACGAGAAACTTATTCTCATGTAGTTTTAAAATCAGTTACCGAGTTCGACGATAGGTGGTGTTACTTTCTAGGGAAAAACTATAAGACATTGTTTTTGCTGCAAGTCAGACTGAAATATTTGCTCAGAGTCAATTCATTCGTTCTTCCGGTTGCAAAACGTTATTGCTACAAACGGTGATTCTTTTGAAAACATATTTTTTTTAAAGTTTTGTTAGATGGCAGTGCAATCTGTTGAAAACTTGGTAATTAATTTTGAAATTTGGTGAGGAAAACTCTCTAGTTTACTGAACAAAACATGAGGATACCGTTCTTTCTATCGTCTTTCCATTTTTCTTTGGTTTTCCAAATTGCCTATCATTTTAAAAAAGCTAATTAGAGAACGTTTAAGCAGCATTTTAAAAGTTTTCGCAATTTTTACTGCTAAATAAACACATTCTGTACAAGAATATTTATTGATTTATGTAACTTTATCACTAGGAGGAGTGATTTTTTTTTTAAATTACAGGGTATGTAACATAGAATGATTCCTGTAGTTCTCTTTTATTTTTCTAGATAGAAAATAATTGACACATCCTATATAATTTCAATAAGGTTTATATAGTATATATATTGTTAGACTTATTGTTAAAGTATATAATGTTATTGTTATTTATATACTTACTGTTAAAATTCGTTATGTTTGAAAACCTGCTAGAATTGTAATTATTTTCTGTATTAAATAAAAAGTAAAATCTACACCCACGATTTTTTACTTCGTTTTAATTTTTAAGGTTCCCGAATATTTTTAAGCCAATTTTTGCTAAATTATTGTACCTTCATATTTGTACCTAAAATCATCCATTTTAACTCTCCAAACCATATATGAATTTCGATAATTATCCCAATAGGCAATCTACCTGTCTATAAATTGTCTGTTGGAAGAACTCCCCTCACCACAACAGTCTAGGCTAGTCAACAAAGTCTAAGGCCGTCTGTTGCTGTGGAAGTAAGAAATAGTTGATATATGGGGAGAGAAAGAGGGGAACTTCTCTCCCTTCCTCTCGCCAACCGGAGCTAAAACCTTTCTTAAATATTGACTCAATACAATACCCATACTTGAAATAGTTGAACCTCGTAACTATAGTCACCGCCACTGCTCCAGACATAGCAAAGTGATTTCTTTCCAGAGACAGACTATAATAGACATTTATTTTTCTAATACTTGAGTTTGATTCTTTTTTCTAAGTCGATCTTTAATATGTTGACTTCATTACCTTGAAGTTTTGAATAAATTTTCTTTATTTTCGTGTTCCTGAACTTTTTTGTCTCGTAGACCTCTTGCCCTGTTTTTCGGTTTTGGGTAGACCCCCTGCTTACTTGATATTGATTTTTTGCAAATTCATCAACTTCAAATTTATTTTTGACAGCTGGTATAGTGCTATCTCACTGTGAAAGATTTAAGTTTCTAACTGCAGTGAAGTGTAGAGTGAAAAACTTAAGAAAAAAACGCCTGTTATTTTATACATTTATTAATTAAATTCAAACTAATTTAATTACTAATTTAATTGAAATGTAAATGGAATAAAATAGTGCGCTCTAAAACCCGTACTCCGTTACTAATATTATAATTGCGGAAATAAGTTTGTATACAAAACTGTAGTAGTGCATTGTCGGTTCGTTTATTACGTTTTCACGTAAAAACTGAGCAACAAATCTCCCGTATCTTGTGCCAGGGCTAAAGAGAATAGAAGGGCTGGTTCACTCCTTTGAAGAAACTCTCTCGCCGCGCTAATCCTCCGATTTTCTCTACGTGACGTCACTTTGGCGCAAAGCTCGCACTTTTACTTCAAGAATGGAGCGTTCGGCCTGGCTAGCTCTAACTAATATTGGAGCATTTTTTTTGTGACATATTCTGAGACATTTGTTATTTTCTATAATGACTTTCCTCAGTTTTTGCAGTGAATTTACAAAAATTTAAAACTATTATCGAAATGCCAGTTTGCGCGATTGCAACTTGTAAAAATTCTGATAAAAAATAAAAGGAAAAACGCGTTCCCTAAAGTAAGTGAACAACTATGTAAAGAATGGATTCCGAAATGACACAGTTAATATAAAACAGCAATACGTTTATGCTATCGTTAAGAACTTTTATAAAAATTCATTATCTAAATAGAAACCGCCTTGTTACTTCAAAAAGAAAGGCAGGTAAAAAAAATTAAAAAATGGATAAAGTCAAAGAAAATTAAAATGTAAATAAAAAGTATAAATAAAATATATAGTATATAGTTGAAATTCTCCTAATTTCATAACATATTTTTAATGTAGTTATTTATTCTAAATATTTATGATTTCTTTAAAAATTATATTCTCTTATATTTAAATATCTATAAATTATATCATCGTAAATTTAAATATCTATAAGCAATTGTAAGATTTCTAATGCCATTATGAACCTAAATAATTATTTTGCTTCAGTAATTAGCTTATAATGTTGGTGTTTCCTAATGATTATAAGTATGAACAAATTGCTTTCAACGGCATATTTAAAAATTAGGGATTCTAAATTTAACTCAACTTATTGTTATAACAGAATATGTAGATAAAGAAGTGCCAATATATGCTTTCATTTTTCTTAATAATTAAATTTAAAACTGAACTTTTTAAAATAAAGTATTTATAGTGTCATTTTCGCCAACTAGTAAAATATTTTTATAAGTCTAAAATGGTATTTTTTTAATATAATGGCCAAGAAAGTTTTTTTGAACTATGTTTATAAACGGAAAAAAAGTGTTAATTACGTAAAGTTTGAAAGCTAATAACCAGAAAATGTCTAACTTATTTTTACAAAGAGAAAGATGCAAAGTTATCGTAATATCTTTGCTTGCGATCTCCGAGATCTGTGGACGCAGTGACGTCATGAGGAGGGAAATCGTAGCTTCAGCTCTAAGAGCGGTGTGAACTAGCCCGTCTATTCTCTTTAGCCCTGATCTTGTGCGCAGATAAAATTGGAGGTCTAGCTAGCTAAAGAGTTGACACACTTACTATGCTACAATTTACCAAGGAAAAATACTTCTTTGTTACAAGACTAAACCTTACACGCAGAGAAAATAAAAACGTATGCGGGTGGAGCTACAAGCAATTGCTAGTTTATAATAATTCAGTTTCGTACATCAAAAAATAATTCTAATAACTTAAATTTTAATAAAATTTTTACTTCATAGCTACTTTCATAAATTACGTAAAATGTAGATAGATATGTCTTTATATTATAAGGTAGTATAATGTAAGTAAATGTGTACTATCAGTGTATGTTGATTATTCCATTCATGAAATGCCAAAATGAAAAGTCACGATCTGCTTATATGAGATCCACTATCGTTGACCCCCATTTTCATTTCATGGACTCCCAATTTTTTTCCCCACTTGGCATAGATCCCTTGCAGGTTGTCGTCGAGCCCTGAGGATCGATATAGACAGACCACTTTGGGAATCACTGGTCTATACTATAGAATCAAAGGATAAAACTATACCAATACTGTTTGCCAAGGATAAAACTATATTATTTTTCAGAGCAAAGTTAAAGACAAAAAATGCATTGTTGCCCGCATTCTCAAAATGTGTTACAATATTTGATGCAAATTATTTCAAAAAATTACATTTTGTCTAATATATAGTCAATTCTTCAATTTTATTATTTACAAACACAATAGAAAGAACAAAATTAAAAATGAAGCAATAAGTTGAAACAACGTTATAAGATGCTCATTCCTCAAATTTAGCAAACAATTCCTAATAACTAAACAATTTAATATTTGGTATTCCAAGGAATTCGGATATTGCAATATGGATAAAATGATTTATGACACTTAATCGTTAATTTATTAGTAATAAGCCATTACCTATTCACGACTTTTGATTTTGTAGTGTTAATATTGGAAAATATCGTTTGATTTCACGTCTTCAACATATTTCTGAAACATATTCTGTGGCTGGGTGGTGCAGTTGGTTCGTCGTCGGCCTTCTGAGCCTAAGTCTGCGGGTTCGATCCCCGGCCCAGACACCTGATTTTCGGGATGCAGAAAATCTTAGCGGCCATGTCGTATGATTATGCGGCATGTAAAATATCCCTGGAGTGCCTTGTTGGCTCTTGGCATTTCCGGCAAAATTAAATTCCTAGTGCACTTTAGCATCCAAATAGAGTCTCGGTGCAGCCATCTAGAGTGGCAGAAACTAGACGTCCAAATTAACATGACCAACGGTATCTCACCCATTGTGGTGCTCCTGAAAGTGTGGATACCACCTCTGGAGAACGCACTAGGTCTGCTCATCGGCAAGACCGATTGTGCAGCTCATTGGAAATAAAAAACATATTTCTGAAATTATTTTTGAGAATCAAAAATGGTTTGAACTTACATAATTATAAGCCTTTATTATCCAAAGGTATACGCAAAATATTGTTTATTGGTAAACATTTCATTACATAACTTAATGAAGAAACAAAATTATAATTTGTGAGGTACACAAATTTTTATGTCATCTTGAACTTTACGAATCTTGAACTTTTTTTTATGTCATCTTGAATTTTAAATGACAATAAGATCTCAAATTTGAACAAAATGGATCGAGTTGTTTCTGAGAAATACATTTTAATAAGATTCTATTTCGAAATTTTCGTTTCTCTGAAAATATTTGACAACTTTCCAATTTTTTAAATTTAAAATAACGTTTTTTTAATTCATTTTTCGATAATTGCTAAAATAATAATAGAAAATAATTATCCAATATTTTTTATCAATATTATCGTAGAACAAAGTAATTTTACATTCAGTTACAAAATCCTTTATATTAGGACAAATAATATATATCACTTAATATGCTAGAGTAAAGTGTATAATAACGAGTTCTAATAACTGAACTATTATAGTCTGTTTGTGGAAAGAACTTCCATCGCCGTGCTGATCTTAGTTCCATAGCAGCAGACGGCCTTAGACTTTGTGGTGAGGGGAGCTCCTTTTATAGACATACTATAGTTTTATTTTTCTGTTCCAGTGTCCCAATATGCGTGCCAATTTCTTTTTCTTAATGGAACGCTATATTAACTACTTTATTTTCGCGGAACGCTGAAGTTTATTAAAAATGCTTTAGCATTTTTAATAAACTTCAGGGTATACAAACTGTATTAATAAAAGAAAAGAAAAAAGACCACTGATTATTTTTAAAATATTTATTGTGAAGAAAAAGAAATTTTCATCCTTACATCAATAATATTCTTAAAATAAGAATTCATTTCAAATAGTTGAAATTCACAGATCTAGACTTACATCAAATCTATACTCCGTTGCAAATTAAGAAAAAGACCATTGCTGTATAGGATTTAAGTAATCATGCACATAGTTCCGTTTTATTTAGTTATCAAATTATATAATTATGCTTTCAAAACAATATAAAAGCTTTTAAAAGTTAAACTAGTCGGACAGAAATTAATTCGTGCTAATTTTTTATAAGCAAAAAGGAGGTCGTGTTACGTCGTTTCAAGAATTAGCGATATTGATATTCATCCGCACTTGGGGCTCGGCAACTATTTAGCGTGCACTTCGCTGCAAATAGGTTCTGTGTAATGGTTTTTTCTTAACTTGCAACACAGTATAGTTAAAAAAAAATTTCAGCATGCATTAGTTGAATAAAGCTGAATTATAGATTTTGTTGGAGTTAAAGCGAAAAATAAATAAACAAATAAATAACTGTTATAAATGTTGAGAATG